GTACCACGGCCTCACGGAAGACCGGCGTGAAATGAAAGTATGTATCATAATTTCGCGTTTCGTCTATTGAGTGAGTTAACCGGGGCCCACTTTTCAAAACGTTCTCAACGCATCTACAATTCTCTACATCTACTCTTAGGTGTTGCAGTTATTCAAGCGCTGCAGTAATCATTTAACATCAGGCGAACCGTCTGCTCGCTTGACAACTTTTCAAGTCATGTTTTCATTTAACAAGTGGCATGTTCGTCGCAGTCCATGGGTTCGATTCTCGGAGGCAATTCAATCGGGGGAAATTGTGCTTGTGAACAAACGTCTGGGCATTTGTCCTTACGAAGGTAAAAAAAATTGTTCAAATTTTATTTATAATAACGCTACGTTCATTTCTTGATACGAGGCGCAGTATGCTTTTGAAAATGTTTTGATCTAAAATTAAAAACGTACATCGCTCACGCCCGGCTTCTGAAACACTGATCAGAAGTCACTGAACATCGTAGAAGTTAACTAATTGGCGTCTCATAATTAAGAAGATCATTCTGTTAGTTTAACAATCCTTTTGGCAACTCAAATGACATTTGAAAAAGCATTTGACAACTAGTTAGCTGGTTAGTTGATTTCTACGATGATCACTGCTTCAGAAGCCGGGCGTTGATATTAAAAAAAATCGATTCCCGGTCGCAATCCAACAAACGTACATAGCACCCAGTTCCCACCGATATCTCTGCTCACTACTATCCGGTGGCCCCTTTTTGTCCATTTCCGGTTGGCGTGTGAAAGGGATACGATGCGCGCTCGAGATCATCCGAGATCGCTCGAGAACGTCCGAGATCTCGTCGGCATGAAAGATAATCTAGCACTGTTTCTGGAACGCAGCTACAAGTATCGACTACTTGGTAGAGAGTGACTTTAATGCTTCTCTCTTTGTTAAACATCTTACCCCGATAAAGAAAGATTAGTTCTGTGGACGCGTTTTATACACACGAATAGTACACAGGCATGCACACAGATTCGGGACAGTCACAATGTTACTCATTGTCAACTCATAGCATTATTCGTCCTTTAAAGGAATAAAACATTCGCCCAGCGCTTGGGTAATAAAATATGGTGTCACTGTTGCTTTCGATATTTATTTATTATAGATATCGATTTTTCCATATTGATGATATTGATTACGATATTCAATTCAAAAACAATTGTACTCATATTCAGTACACAATAGGGGCATTTCGAGGTAAGGATTTTATAAAAATAAGCCGGTCAAGTGCGAGTCGGACTCGCGCATAAAGGATTCCGTGTCATTATCTGTAACGGAAAAAAATCATGCCTGTTGTATGGAAGCTTTAATTGTTTTTTAGTATTTGTTGTTATAGCGGCAACAGAAATACATCATCTGTGAAAATTTGAACTGTCTAACTATCATGGCTCATGAGATACAGCCTGGTGACAGACGGATAGACAGACTGACAGCGGAGTCTTAGTAATAGTGTCCCGTTTTACCCTTTGGGTACGGAACCTTAAAAAATACCCATATCCCCGATACCCTAGCGGATTGCAGATAGTCTTCAAATCTATGATGGACCAGATTCTGTAGTTTTCGCGAAACAGTTAGTTTGATAGTCAAACCCTATTTATGTTCATAAACAAATAATTTCCAATAAATTGTAAAGCGAAGCGGTTTCTTAGAATTATCATTATGATTTAATTCTTACTTTGTTCTACATGTTAGCAGGAAAATTATAAAGTATTTTATAGGTCATAACAATATTAATAAATTGTATATCGGCATGGTTTATTTGACTGTTGTTGGTTGGTGCATGAATCTACTTGTTAATACATCTCATACCTGTGGCTATCTCATATATCTATAAATGTACATTGCTCTTTCGTAATGCATGCATAGGACCCCCAACTTTATATGGACTGCAATGTTTGACGTCTGTATTTACCCAGATTTATACATAATGCAAAAGGTTGTGCCCAACTACTATATCATATTTTACCATACATCCTTGACCACCTAGAATATGGGTCTCCCAGTTCTATGTGATACGCCTCTTACTCTGGACTAATAAGTCCACTGACTGTTGCTGATTTTCCCAAGGCGGATTGACGTCAGGAAGGCGGCCGGTCGTAAAAACATAGCCGAAACCGCTTACAACATGATAGACATGCTGTGCCGACCCCGCCTATCTAGAATAAGGGTAGGAGGATGATGATGATGAGCATATCTCATAATATTTTTTATACTTATATAATTATAAAAAAAGCTAACAAGACCGCAGTTACTTGTCGGTTCTCTGGACGGGTCCAGTATAGTGAACCGGTGGTAGTGTTTTGTCGTTCAATCAGAGATTAAAATAAGAATAAATTTAATAAATTTCGACTTCGACTCCATGTACCTATAGAATCCAAGCGTTTAAACCATCAGATCTCGAACGAGGAGCTCTGCCATTGTCCGGAGAACGGGTGGCAACGCGCGACGCACGCCAATACATCACAAAACCGCCGGAGAGGCGGGGAAAGCCGCGGTCGGCGCCTAAAAATACCGCCGGCCCTGCATCGCCCACGACCATCGTCGCTCGTAAATCGCCACCGCATCGATGCGTATCGAGCGCCTAGGCACGATTCACATCGGACGAGGTGTAATACGCATCTTCGGCCATTGGGTCCACACGTCGGTCTTCGATCGATGTCTATTTAATTCCTACCTGTTATTACTAACTATCATATGTATACTGCCCTGCCAGTCTATCGGATTCCCAATTGAATAAGTCACAGGGCGATACGAAAAGAGAGGCTTTAAATTAAATCTTTTGCGGTAGGGCCACGCACCAGTCTTCGCTGTCGCACCAATGGGCTGTTGCGTTTGGGTAAGTACCACATTTAGATAGAAGACCGGCGTGAAGTGGATATCTTTATACTTCCGCATTTCGTATGGTGAGTGAGCTAGCCGGGACTCGCTTTAAAATAGGTTTCAACGCATTTCCAGCCCTACGGCTGTTAACATCAGGTGCTCAACTGCCTGCTCGCTTGCCACATTCTCAAATAAAAGAAAAAGAAAAAAGTGGAAAGAAGACGTTTCGATATAACGATAACAGCTCTGTGACTAGTCCCGCCTGGTGTGAATCGTACCGAATTGTTAGTTCGCCGTGAAACCGCAGCGATCGTAAAACAATTAGCTGAGCGGGCATTCGAAATTATCGGTGGGAATCAAACCCGAGACTGGGACAGTTGTCTGATCGACACAGGTGCACGTGCCGAGTGATATCAATCGAATATATTATGTTGGCGTGTTGTACTTATTCGAAAACTAATTGGATAAATATGTAAACTAACATCGATACGGCGAAGAACCTTTAAATTATACTTGCCAAGATGTTAAATTGATAGCCGATAAATCTATAATAGATTGTATGACGACACCGTTACGATGAGATGTTGTAGTGGAAAGGTAACTTGAATTCTTTGCTTTTTCTAGCGATTTAAATAATTATTTGGGTTCGATTTATTTAATAGATGTTAATAGTGTCATCATCAACATCAATTCAGCCTGTTTGATTCACTGCTGAACATAGGCCTCCCTCACAGACCGCTACGAAGCAAGATCCTGAACCACCTGCATTCCATCCATTGACTTATCGCACATTTGCACAAGTAGTCACTACATCTAGCGGAGGGTCATCCTAGACCGCGATGGTCAATACGAGCCTGCCTCTCGGGAAGCTTTCTTCACCATCGGTTGGCTCATTGCCAGTTCAGCTTCCTAATCATCTGAGCTATGACAGTAACCTTAAAAGTGGGATATTAATTTCATTGGTATAGGACCTTCACTCCGGAGAAGAATAAGGAAACTCCTCAAACTGAATTATCAAATTTAATGTATACTGTGATGAAATATTATCATAAAAATAACCCAATCTATTATACTATTTACTATGATAAAAATATCATTTTATGTAAAATATTTAAGTGTGGTAGGGTGACGCAATACGCCGATTAACAAATGGGCAGGTCCGTCCGGGGAAGTAAGCACAATCTAACAGAAAACCGGCGTGTAGTGGAAGAGTTATTATACTTCTGCGTTTCGTCTGGCGAGTGACACATTTAACATCAGGTGAACAGCCAGCTGGCTTGCCACCTTCTCTCATAAAAACAATGCTAAGATTAGGCAAACGTAAAACCAAGGTCCTAAGCAGTCTATAGGCTATACGCGGTATGCACATTGGCCGAACTATTAATGATAAAATCCGAGACGTCGATATAACGACATCGGCTAAATTTAGGACGTGAGATTTACGCGGACGTCTGATATAGAGTCACGGCGGTCGGTCGGGCATTAGTTTAGATCGTTTGGCGTGTTTATTTATTCGCGCCCCGCAAACTAAAACAAATTCGCAACGCGCAAATTTACACCCATACCGCTTACTGCGCGCGGCCGATTTACTAGCTCCGCGAATAGTGTATGAAGCCACTCTGTCTTAAACTCTCAATCGTTGTAAGATTTTACAGGTTTTGAAAGCTTTCAACGGTCACTCTATCGAAGCGGGTGTTGTCGAATATATCATTCGTGTGCGGACAATGGTAGCTTTCGGTTGCTGTTTGACGTAACTTTTTGAATATCGTCTACTGCGATTTTTAATTTTGCTTTGTAATAAATTCCGATAAAGTCGCAAGATTGTGGGTAAGTAATCAATCTGTAATGTAAACACTATAATATAAGACAATGATGGATGGGTTGAATACTCCCGACCCTTCACTACATAGTATAAAACAAAGTAGGCCCGCTGTATGTCTGTCCCTATGTATGCTTAGAGCTTTATAAGTAAGCAAAGGATCTTGAGGCGGTTTTAACTAGATAGAGTGATTCAAGAGGAAGGTTTATACGTATAATACATTGTATCCGTGCGAAGCCGGGGCGGGTCGCTACTTATTGAAAATAACGAAGTGTTTGTGACTTCGACTCGACCTACTGAGGTAAGTGTTCGTGGGTTCGTGTGACGTACCCCGCTCTCTTGGCTGGTGGCCGGCGGCGCCTGCAGCCCGTGCTCCTCGTTGTACCTCCGGCGCGCCCTCTGCCTCAGCAGGGCCGAGGCGTCCGGCTGCCCGAACTGGAACAGCTGCTCCTTTGCCGCCGCGTGCCTTCCGCCGCCCAGCTCAGCGGCCCGCCGCACGCGCTCGTTGAGGAAATCCGTGCTGATGAACTCGCCGTGCCCCTCGTCCAGTATCTGGCTCGTGAGCCGCAGCGAGTCCGACGTCTGCCGGAGCTCCGCGTCCACCGGCTCCGCGGGCCGCTGGTAGCTCTCGCATATCTGGTTGAACGTGTTGAAGTACTCGGTGGCGAGGTCGTCCCGCGGCAGGTAGTGCCCCTCGGCGAGGGGGGGCGGGTCCGCCGGCAGGAAGTTGGGCTCCATGGGGTCATGCCGCAGGGCCATGGCGCGAGCATTTGCACTGGGGTTTGAACTTGAAGCCGCACATCACCGCTCCGTGGACGCGCACATCGCGCCCGTGTCTTACGCACGCTCGGCGCTACGATCGCGACGACCTTAAGTGTGTGGCAAAGTCAGAGCTGTGTTCGCGCCGCGGGCTTGGGTAAACAATCGCGGGAGCGGACGGAGACGCAAAAAAGCGGACTCGTCCCGAGCCGGGAGCGCACCGGGAACACCTTGCGTGCGACGGGGCGGGGATCCCGGTGGAAACTGTTGCCGAGCGGTCCGGGATTCGATCGGGGACACAATGGAGGCAGGTAGAATCTCTGACGCGGCAGCCGGTGGCCGCGCGAACGCATCGTAAGGAGGCTGTACGATTTCGGCGGTACGGTCAAATTGATAGAAAAAATGTAAGTGTAAAAACGATAGATATATATTATAAGTTGGATTGAAAAGAATACATTCATGAAGTGAAAACTACCACGTTGAAATTTTTTTTTCTCTTCAATGAGCTGCTCATGTCACGTGTTTTGTCATTAACGTTTGATAATCATAATATGATCAAAAAACATATGATATCATCTCCGCAGATATTTAGTTGTTATATTTCATGAGTATTTTAAAATTAAAACCCAATATAAAACTTTATTGGGTGTTAATTTAAAAAAAGAATTACTCAAAATCATTTTTATTGCTTTATATTTAGATTAAGTTATCAGAAATAGGTCATATTTCTTCTAATTTAACAGAAATGTTTTCTTTTAGGAAATTTCAAGATCCCGTTCAAAACTGACAGACCAAAACATTTATAAGAGCAATTAAGAAGAGAGAAAGAAAAAAATATAAGCAACTACAATACTGTTAAAATTTAATTTCCAAAAAAAACCACAGTTTTTTACCTTTTTTTTAAATATAAAACAAAACTTTTACGACGCCAAAGAAACATACGTTTCATGCTCATACAATATATATGCTTAGAGATAAACAAATTTAGTAAGAAATCGTTACGTATCGATCAGAAATAGAACTTGTTCATAGTTTAAAAAAAAACAACACCTACAAGGCGCGAGTGCACGATAAACCGGTGTTATGGGAAAGGCGTAAATCATACTCTCCACAAAGAAATTACGAACACCTTTTGAAATGTTCCTTTATGTGCGTGCAAAAGGTGCACCAGGTAGGTAAGACAACCAGCAGTGTCCGACGAAGCGGTATGGGAGATTGCAAATCGTAGACCGTGAAAGTGATGAACCATCGCGTCTGTTAGTGACAGCCGATGATATTATATACAAATACTAGCGGAACGGACAGACGTTGTCCTGTACACATGACTTAAATCCGACAGCAACTTAAAAAAAAATATAAAAAAATTTTTGTCTAAACCATTCTCGAATCGACCGAACCGAAGAAGACACACAAACAATTTCATTAAAATCGGTCCAGCCGTTTAGTAGGAGTTCAGTGTTCATACCCACGTACAGAAGAATTGTATAATATATAAAGATGAGGGAGATCTGACACTAGCGTACCGAAACTGAGGCGCTCAAATTACGCCAATTGTCGTAGGTAATTCATTAAAGGCAAATAAACACTGAAGCATTATTGTCGCTCCAGAATGGCATAATGTAAGACTATACCATGACGGCGCAGGGCTTATAAACCGTACCGCGAGGTACGTAAACGGTTTTAGGGATGTACACTTAGTTGAACTAAAAAATAAGTTCATTTTTGTCTGTGAGCGTGATAACTGTCCGTGAGAGTTGTGGTGCTGTTCATTAAGAATCGCTTGAATGTGCGGCTTCCATGTTTTTATTGCAACTTGTACAGACTGCTATCACTTTCCGTTTCGTACATATGTCATATAATGTATGTAAAGCGGAACGATTTTAAAACGCCGTGCCATATGGACATGCGTCATCTATTATTATTAAACATCATTGATGACAGCACAGATACGCTTTGCTCAAAGACCACCAACTATACTGGTCAGCTTTTCATCTTATATTGGACAATAAATGTGATATTAAGGCGAAAGTTATCTCCTAGATTAATAGACTCCTTGGTATACCTAAGCTTGACAAATTGACATTTTATTTCGTTTATTGGCACATTAAATTGGCCATAGACTGTAAATTAACTAAGGGATGGGATTGGCTCTACTAAAACTGTATTTAAAGTGTTCAATACATTTACATTTAATATTATTATTACATTTATTAAATGATTTCGTAACTTGTCTATACGCCGCTCGGGTACAAACCAGAATCCTTAGAACTAATTAATTAGAAAAACCTAAGGGATTTTATGTTATTCGATTTCTTTAAAAATGTACTATTTGAAATTCGCTATTTATTCTCAAGTGTTTTTATTTTTTTTTCACTTTTTACGTTTGATTCGTTTTTAAATGCTTTATAGTTACCGTAAAAGCAAACTTGAAACAAAGCAACAGAAATACGAAAGCGGTTGTCGGTTTCAATTTTTAATTCAAGAAACCGTGTAAAGACTACTAGGGTATGGAACTTTTAACGACTTTAGTGGTAGTAATTTAAAGCTATTTTTAAGCAATCAACTAAGTTCAATGATAGCTCAGTGTCCGAACGCTGGCTTTTCATTAAATATGCTCGAGCGACCTGAATTCGAATCCCGGTGCCAGCACGAATGAAAATGCTTATCGCAATGTTAAGTGCCGATTGCCAATACGCTGTGGGGCCACGTGGTAGATTATTTTACCAAATAGGGGGTATTTGTACAGAGAAGATCTTTTCGAAGCAGTGGGACATAATAAAGATAGACTGTTAATTTACTTCAATACGCGAACGCACCGTGGGTCGTGAGTTCGGCTCTCGCGTGGGACGAGTATTAGCAGACTTATTCCGCATACTTCTATACTATGAAAATTACAAAGTTTCCTGCGACTTTTCGACAAACTCTATGATGTGTGAAAATAATTAAATTCAAACGTAGCGTCGGGTGAACGCGTCGTTAGAGGAACCTCATTACGAAACGGTGGTAGATTTAAAAAATGACTATCGATAAATGAAATGTATATTTCATTTATCGATAGTGAACAAAAAATAGCATAATATTGCAAAAAAAAATTTTATGTGACACGGTGGTAAGCGAGTTAAGAGATAACCACCGCCCATGGACCCGTAGGGTTACAGATGCGTTGCCAACTTTTTAATCACCTCCACTTCTCGCCGGTCATCTATGAGATGGTGATACTTCCCCGGACGGATCTGCCTATTCGTGCAACAGCGAAGATTGTTGCGTGGCCCTGTTGCCAAGTTACCAAGCAGAGGCGTACTCGGAAAAAGTTTAATTATTATTGTGCTAATATAGAATAAATAGGAATAATAATTGCCATAATATTTAACACTATCCACGATGAAATACTTTAAAGATGTCTCACATCCTAATGTCATACGAGTATTTACCCTGGGCTACCATGGATACCGTAGAGCATTCGTATACTTACAAACAATCAGTGGGTAGCACTGGTTAAAGCGACAATTAAAACAAATAGATACAGACACACAATTCCGGTGGTACGGTCGCATACGATTACGCCAACGGAATCCGGTTAAAGCGTGCTAATGCAACCTCCATAGAGATTCCAAGACAGCTGCCTCTAATAAGTGGCCAATATAAATTCAAAACCATACATACGGACAAACACCTGCCTCTATTCGAATGGTGAAACGAGACGCAAGAAAAAAAGAACAAGTCTCTGCCGCCGCCGCGACCGCGTTCTTTTCGATTTTTAAAACAACATCCACCCAGAGTAATAATAATAATAATAAATAATAAATAATAAATAATAATAAATATTTTAGGACACATTTTTACACAACATTTTCTAGTCCCACAAACTAAGCAACGCTTTCACTATGGCTACTAGATAACTGATAAACATACTTAAACATACTTTTCTTTTGTAAATAAATACATATTATAGATATATAAACACCTAGACACTAGAAAAACACTATGTTCATCACACAATATTTTTCCAATAGTGGGGATCGAACCCACACGCTCTGGCGAAGGAGGCAGGTACACTAACCACTACGCCATTCGGGTCGTCAAGAGTGCCCGGTTACTTAGTGGTTGCTCGCTAGACTTTTGCACTCGAGCGACCCTAGTTCAAATTTGCACGTCGTTGACTAATTGCAATTTCAAGCACTCAGTTATCGCATGCTGTACTTTTTCCTCTTTTCCTTTTTCCAGGAATGGAGCATCATGTGTACAAGGTTCTTTTCTAAATAACAGTGGTGCCTTCGTGTCTGTACGTCCACGCAATCTGATGCAGCGTGTTCAAAACTCGGTGGCAGTGGTCGTATCTTGATCAGCTTTGATTGTTTGATTAAAGCAAAACTGTTAGCATACTCAATAATTTAGTGCCATATATGGTCGTCTGCAAACACTAAAGTAGTAGTAATAAGAACTATACAGTTTATAGAAGAGTATAAACTGACACGAAAATAGTAGTGATAAAATAAAATCAGTACTGTAATGTCGTGTCACTCCCACGGTTTGGGTGGCCCACTGTCTCGTTACACTGTAGTGACTGCATATACATGTCCCACTAGTGGGGAAACCCTCTTCTGTACAGTTAGTGAATTGTCCACAGATTTCGGAAGACTTTTCCTCAAGATGTTCGATGATGAGAACAATGCACGTTTCCTCAAGATGTTTCAGGTCACTAACATGCGGTAGACGACTTAAAATTTCAATTAACAATTTCATCGGTAACAGCACCGAGATCTGAACTCGGGCTGCTGGAGTGTGTTAAATTAAAAACGCCCGAACACTCAGCTATCGGGGCTCGTCAACGCAGTGATAATCGCCACACGTCACATCTTTGGATATTATAGGCACGGTACAAAGCACTAATTTATCACCGTTAAAGTACGCGGGACCTTATTTAATTACACTTCGCGATAAGGACATTAATGAGTGAAATTTCGGATTTTTCACCGTTAGCGGTGGGTACGCGAACGATTCAGCGATCAAGGCCGGACCTGGGCGCTACATGCGAGTTATAAATACGCCGTCGGAATGACACTTTAGATATGGATTCACGTTCGCGGTTCCAAATCGGGATTCGAACTCGCTGCCCGCTATTCGAAAGGTTGGCGCTCGAAAACCGTTTGGCAGGTGCGTCAATATGTAAAATATCGACCGCTACGCATTCGAGGCGTTTAATTAGAATTGTACTTACAAAATCCGTTACGGTACTTTCGTACGGAATACAAGAGAAAAGACACTCAAAGATTGCTTGAGATTATGACTTGACTCTATAGTAAAGTAACAGCCTGTACATGCCCCACTGCTGGGAAAAGGCCTTCTCTGTACAGAGGGTATCGGGGCATAGTCCACCACGCGGCCCCACTTCGGATTGGCGGACTTCACATATCTTTGAAATATACATTTTTTATTATTTCGAAAATATATTTCCTCGCGATGTTTTCCTTCACCGCTGTGCACGTGATAAGTTAACATTTAAGATTAATGATTTTGTTGGTGCCAGCCACCAGCTGCTGTTCCCTCGTTGTCCAAAAAGGCACGAACGACAGTGCGCGAGGAATTTGACCAGCTCTCGGCGGCGGGGCAGTCGTATGGCGAATCTTCCACGAGGCGGCCTCGTGTCCTTAGGCTCCGCGGGCCAGTCGAGTCAGCAGGGCGCTGGGACCTGGACGCAGACGCGGCAGGGTCAACGACCGCTACGCACCTGGTCCGGTGTGCATAGGCATGACTGCACCCGTTTTTTTGGCGGCCGTAAACTGTATGTAGGTACGCATTCCGCGACAATTAGCCGATTGCTACAGTAGCGCTGTCAATGAAATCGGACCAATCGAGTTTTGGTTTTTGAGAAGTATGTAAAACATTTGCAGCAACTTCGTTTTTGGGGAAAGCTCAAGAAACGTTCGCACTAGCTAACAAAGTAAAAGACGCTTGAATGAAAATCAATGGTTTTACGATTTATCTTACGCATTTATTTTTTTTAATTTTATAATCCCAAAAAAGTTATAACGTCGTTAACGGTGACCCCATGATCATAATAATAATATACATATATGTAGTAGTATATAATGTTTTGTTTTCGTATATAATTGAACCATAGTATGTTGCAGATATCTTAAAATTCAAACTATTTCCATCCATATATTAAACTGGTCCGAATTAGTCTCTCACTATAAAAGAAAATAGGAGGATTGACAAGAATGCTATCTAACAGAACGTAATAATAATATCGACGTATCCACATTACGGCAGATTCAAACGCCCCTAGTAACAGTGTCGCCCTGTCCGAAAATTCGCCTTTCTCAAGTTCGAGTGACATCTTCGTGTAACCGGGAAGCCCCTCGAAGCTCAAGTGAGCCCGTATGCATCCCCCCCTGCCCCTCCCCTGCCGGTATTCAATGCACAGCGGCGTGGGAATCAGCTGAGCGCGGTGTCCGGTTACCGAGGCGGGTGGTCCGGTACCGTGCGGGCCCGAGATCGATTCCAGACGCTGCTCACTTCAGCTGACGATGCTATCGTGCACCGGGTTTGCACGATTCGCATCTCTAAGGTGGTCGGTGTTGCGAAAACATGAAGTTTTTTTTTATTGAAGAGTATAGTTTGATCCCCACTGCTGGAAAAATTTTGTGTCATGAACATAGCGTTTTTTCTCCAGTGGTCGGGTGTTTATATTTATACACATGTGCATTTATTTACAAAAGAAAAGTATTTGAGTATGTCTATCAGTTGTTTAGTACCCATAGTATACAAGCGTTGGTTAGTATGGGACTAGAGAACATTGTGTAAAAATGTCTCCAAAAATATTTCTTTATTTATTTTTTATTGCTAATTGGAGAGTGCACGAATGCTGAGGTTAGCAGCGATGTAATATTTGTTTTTAAACGCCGTTCAGTAAAATTCTATCGAGAACGACAAAAAAACTAACAAAACTTTATAACTAATTGTCTCGTTTTTGATTCGATATAAAAAAAGCTACTAAATAGCTATATTGTACAGTATTTGCTTGTGTTTGTGAAAATTCAAGACATTGCCATTTCTTCTTCTTCCCGTTCCCTCACTGCTGAGGATCGTGATTCTTAATTATTTGGTGAACGAGCTGTCTCCATCGGTTTCGTTCTGTCGCCTCGTGGATTGCAGCGCTTATGGGGATTTCCAGGTGTTTTGAAATTTGATCCGCCCACCGTTTAGGGAGTACGTCCCCTTAGGTCTTTTACCCTCTATTAATTAATTTACATTGCCATTAAGGAATAATCAAAATATATTACTATATATATTGTACTGTACTAGCGACCCGCGCCGGCTTCGCACGGGTAGAGGCTAGAGCAATGTATAATACTATATATAATACTATTATATAATATTATTAAAAAAACCGCATCAAGATCCGCTGCTTAGTTATAAAGATCCAAGCATACATAGGGACGGACAGACAGCGGGACGGCTAGGTAGTAATGTTTTCTATGATATCGACCATTGATAAAACTTATTAGTATTGCTCGATATTATGTTCTCAATTCAGTCTGTTCGAAGCAGCTAAGCACTGTTAGTTTCAACAATCACACAGATGTGTAACAGCTTTTCGTAATATTTCTTTATATGCTTTATATACCAGTATAAAGACATTATTTTCGTCTTTATACTGGTACTAGTTAACATGAATAACATTAAACTCATCCTAAGATACTTTTACAACCGATCAAGAGATTTCGCGGAGCTTACAGGTGGTCCGACAAGTTTACTGGAGTATCATTATGAAATAATTACAGTATTACAGTGTTTTTATGGCATTTAATACTACTTTACGAGTTAATAATTTTTCGAAAGGCATATAAATACAAATATTGTATCTACTCGTATTCAACTTTGAATACTAGATGGTAATATGATGATGGGTTTGTAACTTGAGTTATCTACAGTTTGTTTTTGTTGCACAGCTATTAAATGTGATAGCGGTAAAATTTTTGCAAGTATATTTTTTTATGTATGAAGATGGCGAGTCAGTTGGAAGTTCATCTGATGTTAAGTGATTACCGCCGCCGATGGACATTCATAACAATAGTAGGGTTACAAATGCTTTGCCACATTTCAATAAAATAGGCCTTACTTAATAGGTTAGATTCAAACGGCGTACTATCCCCACGACTAGTGAAACTAGTTGAAATCTAAACGCGTGATCTGACAGTGTAGTGGATGCGATAGATAGTCAAATGCAAATCGTCCGCGGCTCAAATGTGGCGAAAGTGATTTTTCGACATAACAGTTTTGTTTACGCGCCGAAGCCACGTGGCGTGCGACAGGTGGCTGACTCCTGGGCATCTGTGCGCCGGGTCAAGGTCACTCCATCCACCTCTCGCGGCGAGAGCGACTTTCGCTAGGATTCCATATGGGGCGTGGACCATCGCGCGGGTGGTATGTTTTGAGGATACGTCTAAAGGGCGCAATTGTCATAACGTAACAAAATTGTCGTAATGTAATTATTTGAGTCTTTTATTTTGTACTAGCTAGTGCCCGCGACTACGTCTGCGTAGAATAGGCTGAAGGCGTAACATTCGGACAGAAAGACAGATATCCGTAAAAATATGTATATAAATTATAGCCTATGTGTTATTCTGATGTATAAGGTATATTATTGTAAGGTTTCATTAAAATCCATTCATTAGTATTTGCGTGAAAGAGTAACAAACATCCATCCATACATACAAACTTTCGCGTTTATAATATTAGTAAGGATATAGTAAGGAAGTAAGGATAAGGATTATTGGAAGTTTCGCTTTCAGTCTGAAGGCTGTATAAATATTCGTATGGTAACGAACCCTTGAATAAGTCAATTTCCACGATTTGTTATGTTTCGAGGATGGTCGAGATTAAATTTGGTAATAATGGAGGTTTATTCTCATGTCAAGTTCGATCGTGTACATTTGTTACGTTCAAATTAAATTATATTTATAGTTTTGCTGTGCTACGCATAGATCTGTTCATATATGGAAACGAGGCACGGAAGTGCGATGTAAAATTGACAAATTACCTACCTAGTGCACAAACACGAAACATTCATTTCTCAAAGATTTGTGAAAACGTACCACAAAATGCAACGGACACTGGTTATTTCATCAGATGAAAAATACCACCCCGTTAAGATGTAAAATGTCTAAACAGTAAAAATAAACTAATCAGGAAATAATTCCATTTTCGCAGAAGCCTCCACAAACAAAGAACACCTACACTTTTAACAACTTTGTTTGAAACGCACAAGTTTTTGCCACCATGGAATGGCCGTATTGCCCGTTTTCAAAGCTGTGGTAAGGCTACGCTACCTTCGCTGTTGCACGAATGGGCAGGTCCGTCCGGGTGAGTACCACGACCTCACAGAAGACCGGCGTGAAGTGGAATTGTTACACTTCTGCGTTTCGTCTGTCGAGTGAGTTTAGCCGAGGCACATTTCATTGATAGGTGGCAACGAATCTGCGACCGTACGGGTGTTGCAAACGTCAATGGGCGTTATCACTTGAGATCAGGTGAACGGCCTGCTCGTTTGCCACCATCTCGCATAATAAAGACAAGCTAAGTCAGTACAGTCATCACTTCGTGTGTATCAAGAGCATGGTTAGGCGCGCGTTGATAGGCTTCGAACGCGAGACGCGACACCTTCCCAAATATCCAGGTCACGGAGGCCGTAAAGAGGCCTCGGCTCGCCGGGGAACCGGACCGGTCTCGCACAGCTGGCGGGACAGGTGTGGCGAGACCAGTCGACCCAATCGCGCGCACCACCCGACGGAGAAAGCAACGAACGCATCCCGGTATCTAACGTGTCTCTCGTACTTTGGTACTTCGGTGTTTGATACGAAGTCACAATTAAAGAGCAAACGCCGAATTGGAAACTCACGCGTATCTCGAGCCATTGTGGACGTCAATATCTACACGGAAGATATTTAACTAGTAGTCGCCCTATTGTTGTAATTCTACTATTATTAATGATACACAGTGGTGTGTCTAATGTTTTTTTTATTGATTTAATGTATTTTATATGCACAATTATTATTAAAAAAAAACCTCTATATAAACTATAAGTGTGCGAAATTTAATACTCCTCCGTCCGCGCAAGTTTCGTAAAAAGGGGTACAAAGTTTTTACTTCACGTATTAATATATAGATAGATACTACAGATAATTATGTTGTTAATGCGCCCGGAGTGACGCCACGAAAACGTCCCGCATTTGGAGCATTTTCGCGTTTTTCCCTGTGGTAGGGCCACGCAACAGTGTTAGCTTTTGCACCAATGGGCAGGTCGGTCCGAGGAAGCACCACGACCTCACAGAAGACCGGCGTGAACTGGAAGTGTTACACTTCTGCATTTCATCCGGTAAGTAACCGGGGCCCACTTTACAAAAGGTTCCCTTCAAAAAACATCTGTAACCCTACGAGCGTTGCAAATGTCAATGGGCGGCTGTTATCACTTAACATCAGGTGAACCACCAGCTCGCTCGTCACCTTCTCACATAAATAGGAAAAAAGTTGTCAGCTTCATCTAAACTTTGATTTGGGCTTGTTCCTAAACCTTGTTTGACACTTGAAGTTAAAAATATGCGTTTGTGTATACAATCGGATGGTTTATGCAATATCATCCAATCAGGATTCCGGCCAGGCTTAATAATCGGACGGGACAATACTCAAGGTTCCACGCGGCCGAGAAAACGCCGCGCAATGGTGAGATAAAGCTATGCGTATGGTATGTGGGTGAACAGCTCACTACAAAAGGATGCTATTTCCCTATTCTAGACGCTGATCTATCGGCATTCCTATGGCGAACGGATTCCGCATTAAGTATGCGGGAATGCGGCCGCTGCATACGGCCGACGACTTTGGCCCGGGCGAGGCGAAATGCCCTCTAAACGAATACGAATAAAGTTTATAATACATTGCGTTCGATAATCGAACCTTTAATGGCGAATAATAGTTCGTTAAAAGAATAATACATATAATGGTTTATTTGTGACATGTCTTTATTACGTCTTCTGTATAACTTAACCGATAAACTCCCTATTAATTATTCTAAATATCTTTAGAGGATCTTTTGTTAGATTTAGCGGTTACGTTTCCCTTGAATTTTTCGTCCACGCCTAGGTTATTGGATATACCGTACAAATATTATTAATGGGCGACTCCTTGTCTAATATCATTACATCTAGGCATGTTAATAATACCTAAGACATATGCAAATGAATTACAAAAATATTTTGTAAAACCCAAGAAACATAAAGTAACCAAGAAACCCAAGAAACGACAAAACATCTACGTAGCATTGTTCTAGAGCGCAAACAGTAATTCTCTATCTGAATATAAATAATCTAATTAGTGTTATTTTATATATGTATTATTTATTACCTTTAATAAAAGATTCTTAAGAAAATAATAAGAGTAGTCATGTTTTTTTCCTTTTTACGCAGCAATCTCCGGACGTATTATTATGAGATCGAAAATCATCTTAAAGGCTTGATGAGATTAACTAGTACTAATCGTTCCAGAACGTTAACGTATCTCTTTGTTGATACTACACAATTACTTTTCTACTTTTTCATTTATGATTGTCACTAGAAACTATTCATCTTGTACAGGCAAAAGTCACCAAACTACGAGTCGAATGACGGTAAAGATGTACAATAAATAAAAATAAATAATTAATATTTTAGGACACATTTTTTACACAGCATTCTAGTTCCAAACTAAGTAATGCTAATACGCGAATAATAAAACTGATAAACATGCAAAAACACTATGTTCATCGCACAACATTTTTCCAGTAGTGGGGATCGAACCCGAACCTATGGCGCAAGAGGCAGTTTCACGACTCGCCACGCCAATCGGGTCGTCAATATACATCTATACAGATAAATAAAATTGGATTGTCCGTTTGTAATATTGAAATAACCGCTTTTTACTAAATGCATATGGGTGGGTACACGCTACATAATACCAAAATAACATTTTTTACAATTTTTGTCTATCTGTCTGTCTGTTTGTTCCGGCTAATCTCTGAAACAGCTGGATCGATTTGGACGGGACTTTCACTAGCAGATAGCTGATGTAATAAGGAGTAACTTAGGCTACTTTTATTTTAGATTTTTTTTAATTTATAATTCTACGTCGCGGGCACAGCTAGTCTAATATGTAAAATTCTCGTGTCACGGTGTTTGTAATTGAACTCCTCCGAAACGGCTCGACCGATTTTCGTGAAATTTTGTGTGCATATCGGCCAGGGTGGAGAATCGGACAACATCTATTTTCATCCCCCTAAATGTTAAGGGTGGTCCATCCCAAACATTTTTTTCTACCCTACGAATAATTTATATGACAAAACAACGTTTGCCGGGTCAGTCAAGGTATATTATACAATTCATAGTAACACTCGCCTAGTCACAAACTTGTTATACAACGTTATCACGAATGGGATGCGGATTATTAGCCTCGGATACATCAAACGTTAACCACAAGTAGGGGGAGGTGTACAGTGACGTCACACGTGTCCGGTCAACTCGGTGCGGCGGCGTGCTGTCTCAGAATCTTAACTCGTGTAACATTAGCACGCCTACACACACACACACGCACACACGAATCTTTCTAACGCGCACATTTCTTTCACTGACGGCAAGCGATTCGAACCGCAGACATCGAGTTTGATGCAGCTTCGAGTTTAAGTTTTTACCCTAAATAGATAGATAAATATGTACCATTGAACAATTCAGTGTCAAGTGCGATGGGGAAGTGGTTAGTCCCTAATAGACAATTTGAAAAAAAAATGGGGCAATGACAGTTTTGCCATTGCCCCATCTGGGCCATCAAACCAGAACTGAAAACATTAATTAATAAAGGACTGTCGCGAATATTTTTAATCAATCTAATTATACGCGATATGACATTTAAAGTCGGAGACGAACAAGTCTCCGCATCAATATATTATCACGTATTAATATTAACACGACCGGTCCGAGGAAGCCACGGTACTAGTGTCGAATACGAAATGAGCAGATTTACCTCCACCTTTGACCACCCGATTGGGTTAAATCAGTCACGAGTGTTTAATTTTTTTTAATTGGCATATATTTTTGAAGTCATACTTCTATTGGCGCGTTCGAAAAAATTGTGGGAGTAAAATCCCCTCCCTCCCCTCAAAAAGTAATTTATGGTGCTTGGTATCCAATTTAATCTTAGCAACCAATAACAACTCTTTGACATTTATCAATAATCCCAAGTTATCTATATATTAATACGTGCAGAAAATATTTGTAACCCTTTTAACGAAAATTGCGCAGACGGAAGAGTGTGAAATTTCCCACACTTATAGTTTATATAGAGAGGCAGTGCAGAATGCTAATACATTATGAATTAAAATACTTAACTGATTTAATATCAGTATAGAAAACATTACACACACTACCCATGTATTTGACACACACACGCATATATTTCCTGTTTTGTTTATTGTATTTGAGAATTGATTAATATTGTTCAAACTTATAAATCAAATTAATCAAGGTCGAATTTCGACCACTCGGCGTCCACTAGTTTAAATAAATCGTTATCAATTGCATTTAATGTTTTTACGCTAAAGAAGTATTACTAACGTGCGTAAATAAATCTATTCTACGGATATTTATAAGGTTTTGATTGCTTTTTAAATTGTTACCTTTCGGGCACCCTGCTACATTCAATATTATCAAAGATCAATTAAGATACTTCGATATTTTGCATTACAGTAAACCGAAATCGGGGTATTAGGTTCTGCCTAAAGACGTGATAATCCTAATAGTATTGCTCAATATAAACTGAATTTTTTGACCACCTAATGCTCATCATTTTCTTTGTAAAGCCGAGATAGTACGAAAGAAAAAATCTCAACAGTTCACAGGTCTTTGTGTACGCCGCGACAAGTTACACCTCCGACGATGCATTGACACGAAGAACCATCGCCGGATGCGAGTTGGAACGGAAGCGATGCAAACGGAGGCGTCGGATTACCCGTCGGGTACTCGAACCCGACACCGCCGAGAGCTTTGCCCCATATACGAGCGGAGGAGGGCGTTAGTAACGAGCAACGACGCGGTGTTTAGCACATCCGACAGGCGACGGAAAGTGTCACCACAAAGGGTTGACAGGAACTAACTTGACGGATGTTTTTTCATCAGAATTACACGACTTGATGGTATAAAAGTTGGTTGATGGTCATGATGATGATTATAAGCTGTCAAGCTTTTAGCCGTAAGGGTGCGGCCGAGTTTACTAGCCGTGGTGGGGCCACACGAGTCTTCGCTGTTGCAAGAATGGGCAGGACCGTCCGGTGAAGTGCCACGAACTCACAGAAGACCGGCTTGAAGTAGAGGTACTGCTGCGTACTTCTGCGTTCCGCCTGTTTGGTGAGGTAACCGAGGCCTACTTTATTAAAAGGTGCAAACCTACGGGCGTTGCAAATGTCCATGGGCGGTGTACCGGCTTGCTTGCAATCTTCTTACATAAAAAGTACAATAGCGTAAAACCAATTACTCTTCGGATTATTAGTCCACTCTTCACCAAATATAGTATTTTTATATTTCACTCCGTCCGACGTCTCATCGCCTTTAACAAGAAATGCCGATAAAACCATAATGCCGAGGCGGTCATTCCAGACGGAGCGTCGTCGAGAGGCGCGCGTTTTGAATATTTATAAGGCGTTTAGAGCTATGATTTATTTACGCATCAAAAGCGGTGTGCCGGGAGTTTTGTAAATGAGAGCCGGTGCTCTGCGCGGGCTCTGACGTCATTGAACAGTGAACATTTCATTCGCCTCGAGTTGAAAAACTCTTGTATGTATGTACCCAAAAGGCGGACCAACGTATGGAATGGTGTTGAAAGGAAGAAGTATACGAGTATTATATACATTATTATATTATTGTAATGTCACATTGGTAGACAGTTTGGGAGGGACGGGTATGCTGAAAAAATTTCTATTTGAATACTTTAAAATAGAGATGCTTAATATTTACATTGACGCTACATCAAATATATGTATAACATACGAAGAGTTTCATTAAAAAAAATACCAGACAAAAAACGCATTACTATAAACGTCCCGTAAAGTTAAAACAAAGAGTTGATGAATTACACCAACTTGTCACTACGATCGCTTTGCGGCATGCATTCCGAGCTTTGGATAAATAATCCTACGCGTGATTAATATATAGATTAGATCGTTGGCGATAACACGCTGACGAGGCGTGGGCGGTTGGTCTGCTGAAGAAAGAACCGGCCGAACAATATAATAATAATAAATACTTAGGACACCTTTTTACACAACGTTCTCTAGTCCCAAACTAAGCAACGCTAGTACTATGGGTACCAGGTAACGGATAAACATACTTTTCTTTTTTAAATTAATACATAATAATAAATATATAAACAAACAGACACTGGAAAAACAATACGTTCATCAAACATTTCCCAGTAGTGGGGATCGAACTCACACCCTCTGACGCAGGAAGCAGGTGCACTACCCACTTCGCCAATCGGGTCGTTTAATCTATGACATTGGCATAGCAGTTTCACAGAACAACTGGTTTCAGATAATTAAGCTATTTGGCGATAAGTGCGACAGGGATTGGCGTAATTGGCCCCGGATCGATATCTTTTATTCGCGACGCTCGTGAATAATAAATGCTTCACGCCAAGCTGACGTGGAGCGATGGTGTAGGGCGGGTGGTGCCGCGATGGACACGTGGACGGTCACCCAGGGCGACAGCTCATCGCGAACCAGACCCCCCCCCCCCTCTAATTGTTACCGTGTCGTCAACTAGTAATTAATAAAAGGACAGTCGACGGATAAAACTATGGTAGGACCACGCAACAGTCTTTTCTTTTGCACGAATGGGCAGGTCTGTCCGGGTAATTACCATGACATCGCAGAAGACCGGATTGAAGTAGAAGTGTTACATTTCTGCGTTTCGTCTAGTGAGTGAGGTAGCTGGGGCCAACTTTATTATCATTTAACATCACGTGAATCCCCAGCTCCTTAGCCATCTTCTCACGAAAAAAAGTTAACAGTCACCGGGAGAAATATGACAATTTATATACTGTGAAGTTACGCAAGTCTCTTATGAGACAATTTTTTGAAGAGTTGGCAAATTTAGGTATTTAGTTGCGGACTTTGCATGGTTTTAGCATATTAAGTACCCGCTCCGTGCCACAACCATTGCCTCCAGATTAAGTTTATTGGTCAGATTGTGAGTCGCGAAGATGACTAAGATTAATTTATACGAGAATGAACATCTTATATTGTTATTAACATTTATCACTGCAAATAACACTTACGTCCGCCACTTTGTTTCTTTCATAATGTTATATCATCTTTCGTGATCTTTCTTCATACGTCTTCCGGTCCTACTTTTGTACGTATAAGATACGTATCTTACTCCCCTTACACTATTCCTCGTGTGATATAGGATAAGTTATTTTTACTTAACAACGTAAATGTTTTGGGGCTAAATTTTGCCACATTTAGAGGTTAAGTAATTAAGCCGATTAAGATTAAAGCCGGAAAGTATTGAGTTAGATGAATAACCTTTAAGGTTTGGCATAATGAGATAGAGAGAAAGAGAGGTGATATTATATTAACATGCTTTAAAAAAAAGGCGAAAAAATCCGTGTAATACTTTTATTGGACGACCCGAATGGCATAGTGGGTAGTGTACCTGCCTCCTGCGCCAGAGGGTGTGCGTTCGATCCCCACTACTGGAAAAATGTTGTGTGATGAACATTTTTCTAGTGTCTGGTGTTATATATGTATAATATGTATTTATTTACAAGAAAGTATGTTTAAGTACGTTTATCAGTTATCTAGTACCCGTAGTACAAGCACTTAGTTTGGGACTAGAGAACGTTGTGTGAAAATGTGTCCTAAAATATTTATTATTATTTATTTATTTAACAATGTGTAGTATCCGCTAAGATAGTACGTGGACCAATAGATATCGCACAGGAATCGAAAGCCATGACCGTGTCAGATACACCAGTAAGTAATACGTAACAGACAGTACTCAAATGGAACACCTGTGGACGCCATACATTGTTTTAACTCGGCCGTGGAGGGAGATTATGTTTTTTTTTTCAACTAACACAAGCATAGCCAGCCATTGTTATTGGAAATCCATCGAGTTTGCGGAATTGTGTCGTTTAAGGACTTGAGTGAGAGAAATGTGAGAAATATATTCAGAGAATGTTTGATTACGTCTTCATTTTTAACGTAACGACGTTTTACTTTTTCTTCGCGATATATTCAAAGCCTTCACAAGAAAGGATTTTTGTAGTTATGGTATTGGTAAGGAAGATTTAATAAAGACTATTTTACGGATTTTACCGCGTTTAAATTTGGATTTTTAATTCCCGAAGTTTCGAACCCACCGCAGCGTTCGTAGTCACGGGACAGAATTAAAACGCGACAAAATCCGTTAAATAGTTTCATTAAATATTTATAATATTCGCGTAAAATCAAGATATCAGTAGACATACTGCAAGTTGAAACTTGAACCGATAAAATTAAATAATACCGTAAGAGTTTATCAAAATACATACCTGCTTTGGTGGTCATCATAAATATTAATTTGGAATTTTTTTATCGGATTGCGGTTTTTAATATACAAATAAATAACGTTTGGTGATTTTTAAATTACATCAACGCATATTTCTTCCTGTTATATTCCGTATGACACGACACTATGGCAAAGCACACAATGCCTTCAAAAATTCTTCTCGACCACAATCATTAGTGCAAATATTCAATCGTTTTTTGATTACACTAAAACTTCACAATATCTACTGAACAACATCAAATAAATCAGACGACATACGGACGAGAAACTGCTTGTCTTTGCCTGTTTATAATGAAAATAGACGTTTTCATAATTGCAAATATGTGGTGTGTTTCCCTTAGTTAAAACCGCGCAGTAACGCTCGGAATAACGAGACCTAAATCAAAACCGACGCAGTTTGTGGGTTCGAATTTCGTTTAGTTAGTGAGGTGGCCTAACTCAATAAAAGCGAAACCCTACGGTGGAGGTGATCACTTAACGCTTCTTGGGCGTATAACTCTTCAATTTCGTGGCTTTATATCGACTTAAGTGCGGTGACAGCGCTCAATAGAAACGAAACGAATACGATAACGACTCGTGAACGTGCACATTACGCGTATCAATGCACAATAGGCACTTTTTCCCGTGCCTTCTTTTTTAACAAGCCTTTTTTTTTTAGATAGAGTGTGATGACGTCATCGGACTAACAACAAACTAGTGTTCGAGCCGATTTCATTGTTCCACATGTACACACAGTATTAGAAACTCACGACTCATAGCTTTTCAGCCGAATGGTGGAGGGGTAGAGGAGTAGACGTGCTAAAGGTAAACGAGCCTCGATGAAGATTAAAGCACTATGTGTATATGTACGGAATTATATGTGAAAACGGTTGTATATATGTATGTTTTCCAAACGGTAAGATGCAATAAAGACCTTTTGATATTTTTTCACTGATCGCAAATCTTAAGACTTTTCTTCAAATCTTGTTTTTTTTTCAATATACCAACAAAAGTTTCTTTTTAATTTCTTAACGGTAGAAGACACGGACATCCAGAGCCGTTCCTTTTAAAAGAACGGAAGGAGCTTAAACAGCGGCCGGGGCGCAATCAAAACTTACGAGCGGGGGGGTGGGCGATTAATGGCCGTCTTGCGCGGTCGTCGGCAATTAGACGGATTCGAACCGAGGATACTCCGCGACTGGCTGGGGGAGGTGGACGAGACGGGGGGGGTGGGGGGGTGTCACTTCGAGAACTGCGAAGAGAGCTCTCAATTGTCACTCTTGTCAGTGGGCATACGAGAGGACAGTAGACGCGGTGTGATGTCAGAGATACATAATGGCGGAAACAAACACCCGCCAAGACTTATCAGGTAGGTCTTACGGCTCCCTACAACTTGGAAAAGTGACGTAGAATGGAGACCGAGTTTGAGAGATATACAAAATACGTTGTAGGCATGCGCACTTATATCTAATTAGCAATTCACATTAACATTGATAAACAGATAAGACTCAATTTCATCCAGCAAGGAACATAAACTTTCGGCCCCGTCGAATTAAACTCCCTTCAAGATAGGTCACGGTGCTCCATATTAGACGTGGATTACTTTTAAATTTTGGTTTATTATTAACAACCCCTATTTATATATCCCCTACCCTATCATATCATATAAATATTACTTAGTACGATAAGTTCAAATCAAATTAAATCTTCCTAAAAACTTTCCATACAGGATGTGAAAGATAAAAATATGTAAATTTTAAATACGTAAATTTTCTACTGGTTTTAACAGTAGTTGTACAGTAAGGTTCATATTTTTTTCAGACTTTTGTTGAAAACGGTCTTGGTCTCTTGCTACTATAAATTGCTATAATAGCAATCGGAAGCAACGCACTTGAAAGACAAAAAAAAGCAATTATCGTATCGTTTAGAATGTACACTTATGCATTATTTCAAAATAGGGCATTATTAAGTTTTTTGTTTGTTTACGATACACGACATTCGAATTGAGATTTAATTCGAGTTCTGTTTTTTATTGAAAACCATTATTTGCTTAGTCAGAGACAATAATTTCTCACGTTGTAACCGCTTTCTCGCATTTGTGGCCAGAGCACGGTTACAAGTTTGTAACCGGTTATGATTCCCGAATTTCAGAGCTAGCCGAACCAAAGAGTACCAGTTACATCCATATTGCTGGTTAAGGACTGGGTTCTTATAGTTCAAGAATACCGTAGACCGACGTGTTAACTAAGCTCTACTCCACGCACGCCCCGACTTTCTCTTGAGTCGAACCCAGCACCGCGCAGTGAGGAAATCAACACTTCAGATTGCTAAAACTTCCGGATATAATTTACTATTCATAGATTTTAGTCTATACAATACTAATACTTATATTAAGCGATTACCTCACAACGCCGACGGCCTCCAAACAATATTTAACACTAGCTGTTAACCGCGGCTTCGCCCGCGCGGCCAAAGGGAATTAACAATAAGTTTTTTTTATTTTACATCAGAATATCTCGCAGATGGCTGAATTTTTTCCTACTTAGTTGACACTTATCATTACCTATATTTTGGACAATTCACACAATATCTTTATCTTTATATATTATAGCCTAAGTGTTATTCTGATTCTGATGTGTAAGCTATATGAATGTACCTAGTTTTTAGAAAGAGTAACAAACATCCATCCATACATACAAACTTTCGCCTTTATAATATTAGTAAGGAAGTAAGGATTAGTAAGGATAATATAAATCAGCGGTTTCCCGACCACTTGCTTTGAGATAAGTTTGCAGATCAATTTGGAGGACATCTGGACTGGAGTTCAAAATTGCAGGATATACATCTTTGTATATACATAATAGCTCTTGTGCTCGTGTGTATGTGACTGAAATCTTTCTAAACGGCTGGTCTGATTTCGATGAAATTTTTGTGTGGTGGAGATTCACAATTTGGTTCAATACAAATGTTTTGTTCCATTATTTATAAATTGTCGCATTTAAGACTTGTGTACAGTAAACGCCTGTCGGCTCTGCTAGCACTTTGTAAAAAGTCCCGTCCTTAAATTTGGATGGTAAAGAACATTTACTATCTATCAAGTTAGCTTAAAAGAAATAAAGGTTTTATATTTTGAAATTATTATTCTATTTTGAAAATAAGAGACTGGAATAGACGCGATTGTATACCCCGGCGATTTTGTGTAAACAAAACTTCAAATTACAAATACAGTATTTGAGCCGAAACTTTTAAAATATTAATTAATAGTATTGAAGGCACGATGGTAAAACAAAAATTATTGTTATGATATACAGTCGTGAATAGCCAAAGGTGATATTTAAAATACTCGAGCAACCACAGCTCAAATCCCGGTATGGGCGCCAATGAAATTGTTATTTGTTGTTTTTAACATTGTTAAGTGCTAATTAGAGATGATAACTGCATATGTTTAATCAATAATTATAAAACACTTCAAAGATAGGCATCACATCCTCTTATACTCAACAGTTTTACTCTACTTTTATAAAGCTCTTGTAAATTAAATATTGAAAAAAAAAAAAACCTCACAATATGACAGCATTTTTGTTCCTTGATATGAAAATATAGTTTCCATTACATAATATTAATGATTAAAGCCTACATGAAATCGTACAAAAGACGAAACATGTGGTACAGATTAAACGATGTCAATGCTCCGAGTTTAGTGTTTACGGACTTTCCAATACACAAATTAGATCGAGTTAAGAATCTTACATTTAGATAATATTTCCGTTGTTACAATCCAATTACAAGAATAACTTCCGCCTCGTGCACAATTCCGTGGCAATTCTGTAAATAGTAACACGCTCCCGGATATAAATAAACACTCAAGTAACACTGAAACTTTTGTTTCCGATTCAAACGTTGCAAGCCGTATAAGCAAGCTTAAGGGAACGAGTGCGTACGTATGAAACGTCACTAGAACATATTTACACGCGAAACTTACGTGCCTATTATGGGAACTAGACAAGTTTAAAGACACTGTCGCCTTCGCTTTTAAAACACTTCGTTTTCCGTTCGCCTCCTTAGCGGGCAGGACTCGTATCTAGCGACGCGTGAATGCAACGGGGGGGCTAAAGCGGCTAAACTTTTCGTTCGTAACAAAGATCGCGCGGACAACGCGAACCCAGCGCGCCCGCTTTCCCAGGATCTCTTACCGTGCCTACGAGAAACAATAGGCCGTGAGTAACGTAAACACAGCTCGGACAATGCCACAGCGGTGCATCAACACCGATATCACGATAGCGAACACGCACACTGCACTTTATTACATCAGAGCACAAAACTTCGCACGACGATCGGACGCGTATAGAGAGTAGCTCGGACGCACTGCACGCTTCCGCGCGGCCACAGTCACACTGTGCACTGGAGCGCTGCCATGGCCGATCGCCGTTCACTCCGCTCGCGGTGTTGCTATCAGTAAACCATGAAAAGTCCAAGCTTTTTAAAACTTACTTGCGTTTTAGGCATTTTTACTAACCACGAGTGACAATTTACAAGTTTATTTTTTACATTTTAATCTAATTTCATTATTTAAAGTTTCGTCAAGAATTATTAGGAAACAATAACATAGTTTCTTAATGTTAGGCATGATTAAGACATAGGCAGAAATAAAAAAAAAATATATTTTAATAACTCTCGAGTAAATGCAATCATTTTTCTTTGTTCTTTCTTAAAGTGCTACTTCATAATTTACCGAAATTCGTACGTATAAAAGCTCTCCATCGGCTGGCAACATTGAAAATTGAAGCGACGTTGCCAATTCTCTACGCGCGCCGAGCATTGCGCGCACAACAACGCGAACGTTACAATAATGAGGTTAAAGTTTCTGTATACAACTTTTTTTTTTCCTCTCCCGCTTCAAATTTTCAGCTGAACGAGCCCGGACGGCTAGGTGGTCTCATCCTAAACTGTAATTAATGGTCGGAATAAAGCTGCGCGCTCCTAATGATGCTCTCGGGGCGAGTTTCGCGAAGGAAACATAAAATAATTGGGTTAAAACTTTCTTAGCGTGCGTACTTCAAACGTTCGCTTGCTGGGTGTTCAATAATTCATATTGTTTTACGTTTATAAGTGATGATAAGGAAGATTTGTGAAGAAGGAAATTTTGTCTGTTCTCACGTTCCGTTCTCCTATGATATAGAGTTCGGGCTAATAAATAATTTCTATGGAATGGCTTTGCGTTGTAATGGTATGTGATTATGAAACAATTTCAATTACGGATGTAATTATTTCAGTACGCTGGTAGTATAATAGCAAATGCTTATCGATTTCGTTAAAGGATATTTTTACATTCTCGGCTACAGATACGGATAAAATAAATGTGGGCGTTATTGGTGTCACTCGTATCGTTACATTACATACGAAATAAATATTTTCCTCATAAAGTTTTTTTAATATTCAATAAAGAAAACGACGATATTTTATGCAAACCTTAATCGTTTTTAAATCAATGATAGACATCGAGGCTATTATTGATTCCGTAGAGAACGTTTATTAGTTTTTTATATTGTACTCTAGAGCTATAATATCTTGACGTTGATTTTAAGATGTTTAATTCGACATAGGCAGAGGTTAGCCATGAGCATGATCAAGAATTCTTAATACTTCAGAAGTATTATATCGGTCTCTATCGATGGTCACTGTCGCGCCCCCTACGTTAATCGATTGTCCATCATTCGTTAGCAGGGTGTAGCGGAGCGGACGGCGTCGTCGTGTAGTCTTCGTGCACCAGCTACGTTGTTCTCCCGAGTCCGAGGTTCGTCTGCCCTTGGACCCCTTCAGAAAATGTCAAAGCCAAAAGGCTAACAGCAAACTAGACGTCGCAAAACAAAAGGTCTCTATCGAATAGTTTTATTGCGAAGGACGCATTTCTTCCAGACTGGTGTAAAGTAGAGTTCTACTAGAGAATGTGGTAACTCGATATTAGATGAATAGGCCACCTGTTCCTTTGTCAACTTCACTACATAGTATAAAACAAAGTCGTCCCGCTGTCTGTCTGTCTCAATGTATGCTTAGATCTATAAAACTCGCAACGGGTTTTGATGCGGTTTTTTAATAGATATGAGTGATTCAAGAGGAAGGTTTATATGTATAATAGATTGCACCCGTGCGTAGCCGGGGCGGGTCGCTAGTTACTAATATGGGAAAAAAAAAAACCAGTTGCATTTAGATGATTAGATTAGAAATGGACATAGCAATTGACGATGATTCACAATTTACCGAAGCTAATCAACTTGGCAACGCAAATCTTATCTTTATACGCAAAAGAGATACGAGAAAAACTAATCACACTTTCAAATACATGTAGACTTATCAATATGAATACGAAGAATTTTTTTTTATCATCATCAGCGTTTCAACGATGGAAGGTTAGTTGAGCCACACAGTTGTCTCCGGACGAAAAACATTGTCGCAACTCTATCTCTGTCTCTACTTTTTGGGTAGAGTTCTTCGGCTACAATTACGTTCACTATTTTTTTATTGTTAACATGTTTTTTTAATTCAAAACTGGCCAGCACTTGACTGCCATCCCACCTGATGGTAAGTGGCGATGCAGCCGTTGAATGTCGCCGGGTTCTTGCCGTGCTCGTTCAGCTAACTTCATGACGACCGCTTCCGGTTCCTTTGCGGACGATTTGAACAGGATAAAGGTGTACAGTTTCCCGTGAACCTGGGTCGCGCGGCATTTGGCGGGTACTGGGTCCTTGATGCCGGATACGGTGTCGACGCTGTGGTTGGATGACTGGAAGAGATTTGCGTGACATGCGCACATGATGGCGAACGCGAGATTCGAAGGACGGACGGAGATGGTTCCTGCGCCGCCCTCCTGTGTCACCCGTAATTATTAATAAGTTGATTGAAGAAAACACAGGTGATGAAACCATTGAAACGGCTATAAGACCGCACTAGCGCCATAGAAGATTACATAAACTAGTGCCATTGTCTATTGTTATGTAGCAATAGCAATAGGAAAGAATTGTTTGATTAGTTAGACGGTTGCAGACAAGAAATTGGTACTATGGCGATGTATCATCGATGTCCTAACCTATCTGCAACAAGAGATACTAATGCGTCGGAACACTCGAAGAGTATGGCCATTTGGTTACTATTCCAAATCCAATCCACACACATCAGATGAAATGTTCACGCTTCTACTCTTCATAGTAGTCGTGAGCTTTTTCTTGCTAAGGCAGACAGTGGATCATTAGAAATTTATAATGAAATATATTTAGAAATTACAGTAACTCATAACCTGTTCAAATTAAATATTCCTTACGAAAAAAGACTGTGTGACAAGTCGCGGGCCAAAACTGCTTGCAATATATAAAGATTAAAGCCCTCTTGTTAGTACAATATCAGACCTCAATATTACTGACTAGATGACCTCTTAGCTAATAGTAATAATTTATAGTAACGGTTTCGAAACAACTCTCTGTTCTTCATAAGTCTATTTGGAAATTCAAAGACTTGTTGTTAGGACAACACTCTAAAAACGGACAAAAAATTTCATACCAACGGATGGGATGGTAGTCCAGGGCCAGTCTTAAAGTGATACAAAAGTGTCGCGAAGGTGTCAATGTGAAATCGACGATGTATTCCGACCACGTCATAATTATTGCTAATGTGACATTCGGGGATCAACGCGGGCGTGGGGAGAATGTGCGATCGGATGTCCACGCATTCGAGTCACGTGTCGGCACTCGTTGGCGGTTCGACCCCAACTCCGAGTCCAGTACGCGTCGCATAGTCTCGAAGAGATACTCCCGGCCGTTGCTAATTATTCCAGTGTATTATATAACGCGTCGATTGTTTAAGTTGCCCCGTCATCGCAGAAATTGTTGAGGCCAATCTCAATTCTAGTTATATCGTTGGCTACGTGTAAAGTTAATCACTACTATACTATAAAACAAATTCGTCCCACTATTTGTCTGTCTGTCCCTATGTATGCTTAGATCTTTAAAACTACGCACCGGATCTGGATGTGGTGTTTTTAATAGAAAGTGATTCAAGACAAAGGTTTATATGTATATTACATTTTACCCGTGCGAAGCCGGGGCAGGTTGTTAGTACGTAAATAAATCGTTGCGAGTTATATTCAAAGGGCAAGATGATTCAGGCGTTCAGCTTCCAGATTTGGTCGGATATAGATGTCGGTTTTGATGCGTTGCAAACGCTGATGAGTGGCGTTAATCTTTTATTATCAGGTGGTCTGATCGGGTACGTATTAAAAACAGCTAGACGAGGAAACAAACACCATCGCAATCAAGCAATCAAGTTTAAAACAATATAAACGCTAGCAGTAGCGTGTGCAGACACGCGTTGAATTTTTGACCAGGTCTGATTCGAAGGTTTTGATATGATGTACTCGATATGTCTGTTTCTGTTTTCTTTCTGTTGTTGAGGGTCGGCGTTGTTGGGTTTAGGGACTGCTATTGTTGCTATTTATGTTAATCGGCCATAGAATTAACATAAATATGGGGGGCTAGGAGCTTACCTCACACATTCACCATATAAAATACGAATGTATAATACTTCTACATGAAGTTGGTTTTCCGTGAGGACTGGTTACTTTCCCGCACGAGCCTGGACATTCGTGCAACAGCAAAATGCCCTATATTGCAGCATAGCCCTATCGCAGTATTCATGATGATAAAGAAAGGAAAGGTTATGAGATCAACATCACCCTGTAGATGGTATGCTTCATTATCAAACCTTCGTTAGAGGTTCGGATAGTTTCAAGAATATAATGGAGATTTCATAGATTGGATTTACCTGAGATATCAAAGATAAATCATTAGAAACTGAGCAGAAAGTAGTGACACCTTGCAGACTGAAATATGCTGCTGAAATATACGTAAGTGTAGTAGAAGTACGGTTTTAATCGTTTTTGAGTGCTAAATTAAAGCTATCGGATTGACGGGACACTGAAAACGGATAAAGTGAACCAATATTTATGTATAGACGATAATTATACGTGGTCAAATGGATGTCTTCGCAACGGGTTCCGAACCTGCGTCTTCTTTTTTGTTCATTTTATCTATAAAAATTTCAAGTTTCATCTTGAGTACAGAGACTAGCATTGAAAATGAAAAAAAAAATAATTTTATAAATTGTACGTGAAGTAAGCAAAAGGGGAATGAGAAAATCGGAAATATTAACTATCTATCCGAGTGATAAGTGTAACTGTTTTGTGTGTATGTATGAAAACATGTATGTATTAGCGTTACAGGACGATTAGCATATTCAGAGTTCGACCCGCGACTCATCGACGACCACAAAGCGAATGTACCCAGGAAACGTGACTCCGTAGGGGGCGTTTTCTTAGTCTCGTGCCAACAAAACCGCCGCCTCCGATGCGAATGCATAATGCACTCATCAAAGACTGTCCACATTCGAGGCTTCCCGTACATTACGTGTGTAAGGAGCAAATAGGGGCAGAGTTATAACACAAGTAATCTCGCAGAGCGTCGACTTATCAGTCGGCGCGCGCGACGTTGCCGCTACGTTCCCCCACCAGCGAGCGAAAGGGACGGCCGTTGACGGCGCGAGGGAGAGCACGGGGATCGCGACCGGGGCGAGGTGCGCGGGAGCGAGACGGCCGTAACTGGGATCGGCTGCGCTTTTCGTGCGAGATCCTGCGTGAGCGAGAGTGGCGCGGGAGCATGCATTTCTTTATTTCTCGCGACGATAGATGAATAATTCGTCGATTGTTATCGTTTCGCAAGTTATTAAAACGCTTTGTTTGATATGGCAAATTATGCATATTATTTTTCAATTACGCGTTATGAAAGTATGTGACAAATTTTTCCATATGTTGTTTGTTTAGCTTTTGTTATCGTACGTATTTAAGCGCCTTGCTAACTTAGTCTCATTAAGAGACATCGATTACCTAGCGCTAATTTAAAATTAAACTCGTTCATTCGGAAATGTGCAGTCCCAAGAGCTTATTAAAAGAACTTAACCCAATCGCATATTGAAGTCTCTGAGTGTAAGCGTAAAATCTTTTCCTTTTTCTACCATTACGGAACCGCCTAAATATGGCATAGAAAAATAACCTCTTTCCATTGCAGACCCTATATCTATTTTATCGTCTATCTTTGTAATAACACACCGTATATCTGTATGATGTATCAAAACAAGTATCAAATTTTAACACAAAATTATCATAAAACAAAAATTATAATAAAAACACAATGATAGCCGGGCCAGTTTCACTTGGAACTGGTTATTTAAATTTTCTATACGAATCGATTAAAGGGATTATTCTTTTATTGCCAAAAGATCTACTTTCGATCAGGCATTAATCTTGTGTTAATAGAACGGCGATGGTACCTCACGACAAACGCTTGAACATAGCTAAGTCAAACATGAATTCCATTAGGAAGGAATTGAATATTCTCCTTTAATGCCAGTTTACTGTTAATAACGTTAAAATTGAACCAACAACACTAGCTGCTTGGATGACACAAAACAATTTTATAATGACCTTCCAAAGTTCCCTCCAAAACTTTCTAATAGTGCTAATCTTAGCACTGAAGATGAATCATTAAAATTTGTTAAAAGAAGTAAAACAAAAACTATTTCACCAGCGCGGGAATGAAACCCAAGTCTCGTGGGTTACACGCCCGACGCTCTAGCCACTAAGCTAAACGGCTGATCTTCACGGATACGAAAATCTCATCAATCTCCTGTTTTATTGTATTTCAATTTCATTTTTAGAGATCCAATGGGTCAGAGTGGTCTAGAGTGGTTGGTGTCTTGTGGAACTTCACGAGTCGCTTTGATTAAAATGCCGTTCGACCTCAGCTTTGAAGAAAACTATTAATCATCAGAGCAGCTTACCTGACTGACGCCAGATTTCTGAAACACTGATCATCGTAGACGTTAACTAATCAGCTGTCAAATGACTTTTCAAATGTTATTTGAGTTGCCAGAAAAATTGTTAAACTCTTCATAAATTGATCACTCTGATCATTAAGAAGATCATTCTGATCAATTCAGAGATCAATCAGTGTTTCAGAAACCGGGCTTGAGTATTTTGGGGTGATGTTACTAGTATGAGCCCGGTGATATGTTGTAGTCGTCTCTGCATATTCTCGCTGAGATAACAACAAAGATGATGACGATCATTATAGCATATTGCGAGTCCACTTCTCGATACGGTAGCTCCCCCCCTAATGATGAACCCAACTTGTAATTGATTATTATTGATAGTGCGTACATTTTATAGTATCACTTGTTTCTCGGTTCCGAGCGGTCCGTTCATTTTCGGTTTCGTCTGCAATCTAGCCGAAACCGAAAACTACATTAGGGCGGTTTCGCGATGCGATCGAACGTTCGGTGCGCTGAGCTGCGAGCAAAAAGGTGTCACTATACCGCATCCGCGTTCACAGTCGTAAATCCCCATCAGTTCGGGGATAACATTTCAAAAACCTTTTCATAATCTCATCTACTTCATAAAGAACTATTCGAAGTTGGAAGCTGCGCCCTGTCTATCTGACAGTTCAAGTTTTGCTAAGGAAACCATAACAGCTATATGTTGTAATACGAGCGTTCAAACGATAACCCTACTATAAACAGATTAATTACAAAATCATGACAATACTCCCGCTCCCTGCGCATTGATCGGGCTTAGGTTGCAGACTGCAACGATGTATACGTAAACAAGTCAGCGCGTCTTCCCCTGTCGAATCATCCCCGTACGATATCCGACAAAGAGCACCCCATAGCCCCATGGCACACTAACTCCCAACCCCGTGTCGGACGACTGCAGGGGTGTGCACTTGCGCGATTTATCACCCACTACACTACCAATTGGCGAGTGATAGCATCAGAAACTATATAATTGAGGCACTTTAATCAATTTTTGTCCTCTGAGATCTCGGCGGGCGTCCGTGCTGCAACCGAAATTTCTATAATAGCGACTCGTCCCGGCTTCGCACGGGTCCAATGACGAATGTTTATTTTCGACATCGCATTAGAAACCTCTAAAATTATCAGTGTTTCTCTACTATATTACGCATGAATTATACATATAAACCATCCTCTTGAATCACTCTATCTATTAAAGAAAACCGCATGCGTAGTTTTAAAGATCTAAGCATATATAGGGGCAGACAGACAGTGGGACAAAAAAAAGTTTTATACTATGTAGTGATAAGAACAACGGGACAAATAAAAAGACATTTATATACTAGTCTTCAGCTAATAATTATATGTCAATTTGATAACACTCAGACATGATAAAGATATTTGTAAACATAAATACTGCTATGAAAATGAAATTATTGACGGCGTTTCTGAAGCTCGAAGCTATACAAATCTAAGACCTTGCAGTTAATTAACATCTAACTAATGCATCAACTATTACAGCGTTAATGTCGGCTTCGAGCTATTTGGGGCGCCCTATAACTTCGCTTCCGCCTTGCGGGTAGTTTTAAGAATTAACGGCTTAATTATTCGCTTAATTCGATGGTTGCTTTAGTTAATGGCATTCGGTAGACCGCCGCCGGATTGGCGCGGCCGTCTAGCGATATAGCATCGATAAGATTAAAAAAAACAAAAGTCCTATTGCTCTTATTTTGCCTTTCTTATTAGATTTTTTTTGTTTTTTTTATGCGAAAAGTTGTCAAACGAGCAGACGGTTCACCTGATGTTAAGTGAATACCGCCGCCCATGGACATCTGCCACACCCGAGGGTTACAGATGCGTTGACAACCTTTTGAAAATTGGGCTCCGGCTACCTCACTCACCAGATGAAACGCGAAAGTATTTGTCATACTTCCACTTTACGCTAGTCTTCTGTGAGGTCGTGGTACTTTTAAGCTATTATTGTTAGTACCGAAAATATAATTTGATTATGTGAGCGAAACGCCGGATAAAGTAAGCGAGTTTACGTTTTTAACAGAGCTAGAGAGAATGGTAAAGTATGTCATCAACATGACGGCTGTATTCATACGAAAAGGAATTTGAAGGAACCTATCGAGTTGCTATTTGTTTAGCCATTGATCACGATGAAATATCAAAATCAAATGACCTCAATTTAGTCAGTCTACTTAAGTTAGACCTAACCAAAGCAGCATGCACGCCAGTCAATCGATGAAATTGTACCCTGCAGGCAAAGTTGAAACGGAGAAATTACAGGGTGCCGATGGGCACCCGACTGTTGCCTATGCAATTGACGTTCTTTATTTTTAAAGTCGCAAATGGATGAATAAAGGCTGACCTAAATGTGATAAAAGAGCTTCGAATTATCACGATATGATATCAGTGAGACGTATACAAAAGTATACAGAGTGTAGACAGATTTATGAGTTAATCTCGAAAAGTAATAAACATAATGTGATGCAAAATAACGGAAAAATTTGCTTCCACCCGTCTTTTGCGTTTGATTACATTGTCTTCAAAACACCTGTACACCTGTACACATGTACGTCAGATTCAAACAGTGAGTTGGAGCGTTTGCCACCAACGATTGAATCAGCATCAGATGAGAAGGTAGTTAATCTCTAACCAGGTCATTATAATCAAGAAGCATTCAAACAGTTTCTTATCTGTTCTTATATAGGCTTGTGGATCCGGACTAGGGAATCTATGGCGGATTGTAAAGTTTGTATAAGCCTGAAACTTGTGTAAAATAAAATAAGTAACCATTGTACCTGTACTCTAAAAACACAAAAATATAAAACGTCTACCCGGCAGGCATCGTAACCTAACCAATCAGGCGAGAATTCAGACCCAGAAGCCATATCCACCGCCAGGAACCTTGAACCCGTTCGTCGAGAGAATAAACACCCTCACCTGTTAAGTGGATCCGTTTAAAGCACGAAAAAGTCTTCATTGTTTACATAGCACCGGTGTCACGGGCCTAAAGGGTGCGGTTGCATGCCATGTGGGCCAGCATAGCCCTTCGCGGACTGGCCACCTGCGCAAACTGATACCACGCTTTTTTTATATCTTTTTTTCTTCGATTTCACACATTCGTAACTCGAATCTTTAATTGACTTATAGTAATAATTAAAAAAAAAAACACTAAAAAGTATTCGTAACCGAATTGCATGCATGCGTGGAAATTAGATTTGCAAGATATAGTGTAAACAGTTGTTGATAGGCCCTTTAAAAATAAAATAAAATAAAAATAAAGTAAGTATGTAAGAATCGGGGATATTTGAATTCCTTGATCTTTGCGCATATCTTTGGGTAACAGCCTTAGGAATTTATGCATGTATTTTTCTTCACGGGTATGTATCTACATAATAGTATCGCGTAATGTCTGTATGAACATAGAATAGTAGTGTTGAAAGTGTTAACCATATTTGATCCCACCAGGACCGTCACTTGAAACAATTTCTGTTAGTTTCATAAGAAGACAAATAACTTGATACATGTTTAATTTTTAATTTTTAGTGCTAGTCTCAGCACTCAGGATGAAACTTTAATGTGTTGAATGTGTGGACGTTTACTGCCAGCGAAGAAAAATTTTGCGACAGTTATCTACACATTTTTTTTTAATTTGATATGTTACTCAGATTAAGAAGATCGTTAAATATCAGGAAAATCTTTGTGTCTTAAAGTTCATATCTCTCTTTGGCGGATTTAAGTCGTGAAATAATGCATCAAGAAGCGTTGTCCTATAGAAATATTCTGATGACTAACGCTGCAACAATATAGATGCTTCGAAATAATAATGGCTGGCGAGCTTTCTTTAAAATGCTCTTGGAAAGAAAAAAAAAAACGTAATTTTCAATTGCATTGCATTCACAATGGTTTCTTTATATCGGTATGATACGAATAAGGAAAGAACCGGACAGCAAGGGTCCCGGTCAACGACACACGGACAAACAAGACGTCGCGTATCTACCCTCTCACCCCGAAAGACTCGCACACCTGCACAAATCTATGCTCACGAAGTTAGGGTGACCATAATATGTGGTGGAGTTAGTACGGTCACTTATCGCGTCGGCTTGGCTGACCGAGCGAAAGTCCAACTCACGACCCTTATGTGAAGTAGTAGACTAAACGAAACGAGACTGTCTGTTCCATGACCATGAACGCTGAAATGGGCCATAGACGCCGGAAAATAAGATAAATCCGTAAATATAGTATCATTTAGGTGTAATCGCGTAAATATAATTTTCAAGATCCTTTCTATTATAACCTACTCCTAAATGCATAGGTAGAGCTGTTTGAGCTCTCGAAAATCCGTTAAACGACAGAAGAGGGGCGTGCTGTCGCAGCCGTCACTAGTATCTAATAACGAACCCTGGAGCTAAAATTGCATGAGACGTAAGCTTAGACATCGTGAAACTGGATTTCCTCAACATTCCTCCATCGTGATGGTAAATATTTTGTTTAATTCAATAGGCAACAAGGTCCTACCAAGTCTTCGAAGCACCTAGTAATTGAGAGCAACGACGCTCGCCGTATCCCTCCAGTCCTCGGGAGCAAATGCTTTCCTTCCGCCCGCACAAGGTTCTGGCGAGCCCACCTGTTCTGCATTCTATTAAGCTTCGACAGTCTCGGGACTGAAAGCGTTAACGTCAGTTAATACGAGATACAAATGAGGGTCTGTCCTGTCGCGCGGCCGCCGCGTTGCCACCGTAGTCCTATCGCCCGTAAGGCAGGTCGGCGTAGGTAATAATAGCGTTGCGGGCGCGGTCGCACGCGCCGCCGCGACAGATGTGCGCGCTCGTGTCCGCTCGGGAACGCTCGTGTGTCGACCCGAGGGGTGAATGGGGCCGAGGCGGTTTTTGCTACGCGCCCGACGACGCCCTGACTCCGATCGCCTCAAGTACGATACAGCTACTAAGCACGAGTATAGTTACTACTACAATAGAGAAGACTACGGTAGTAACTACTGTATACCCTCTGTCTTAGCGGTCTAGCTTAACCACATCCGGTGGTTATCAACTAACATCTAGTCTTTTCTACATTCCAGTTGAGTTATCCTTTTTTTTTAAAATTTACTTCGAATATCAAGTACTGATTAGTGATACTATCAATTATTTCAATTTGAAAGTGCACGTTTATATATGCAGCACCTTTAGCCAACCTGCGTGTGTATTTCGGAGCATATTACCATAACAAGATTCATTCCCAATTTACAGTATTGAATGGAGTGGAAGTAATATATTCTCAACACGCGATTTGTTTCGTATCCAAGCGAGGAACCGCCACCGCTAAACGAAATACCGCTATATCGAAAAAAAACAATCGCCAAATGTTCCCTATTTTACGTTTGGATGTTTGATAAATTATTAGTATAAAAAGAAACTAGAGCATTAAAGAGACATAGACAATAATAACATTAGGCGTGTACGAATTAGGTTCTTTTCATCATTGGCTCATGATGATGATTTCGAATATATGTTACATGAAAAGTGTACGATCTGACGTCACTATGTAGAGTGTGGGCCTCCCTTTCGCCTGCAGACGTAGTACCATATTAAAACCGAGAGCAGGACGCAATCGACTCACGCGCCGCTCAACAGCTCAGTGTCCGTCCCGGAGGGGTCTCGATTCGCGGAGAGCCGTTTGAAAGGAGAGCGCGCATTCAATACCCTCTCCCCTAGCGTTTAGCCTTTTCTACTTGCACGGTCGTTCAACTTGTCTTTTTGATGGGATAAATATGACCATTGAGAGTATTGGGGTCCCGTAAGAACTACAAGTGAACGCTTTTATGCTATTTACACACACACAGCTGATTACTGCCCTGGACGGAAGCCACGCTGCATCTGTGATCTGTGTATGTCGGCGGACGTCACACTGTGTCCTAAATATATTATTACATATTTATGGAGGTTAACTCGCATCGATGTTTAATATTGACTAATATATAAGTCTATGGCTATGTATTATCATAACCTAGTACCCGTTCAATGTAGTTACGTGAAAGGAATGATCGTTTTTAAACAACTTTTTTTTTGTAGAAAAGTTCATCAAAGAATAAACAGCATAAGCGTAACAGATGTTTAGCGAAGTTATCCTTTGATTGATAGGTGCGGCGACCTAATGGCTTGAGCTATCTATTTCATAGAGTGCGATTGAGCTAGGCAGCTACAATTTAAACTACGTGGAGTGCAACCAGAATGCAAAGATAAGAAAATTCTCATCAGTAAACAAAAGTGTTATTAATTATTTCAATTTGAATCCAAAATTGCCGACTTTTCTAATGGTTTGCAGCGACGAAGGGCGTTACAAGTCTTACACTTACACAAGAATTTTGTCAAAATATTTACGAATCCGTGTCGAGTCTTTCTATTAAAACTGTTTAAAATAAAAATAAAATAAAACGGCAATTCACAGCCAAAGAATATGTGTACCGAACCCGATGCCGTCGGTGACGACGTCACAGGGTTTTTATGACTGTCGCTTACGACATTTTAGATTCGCGCGCGCGCGCAATGAAAGGGTGGATTGATACGAACGCGTTTATAAACATCGCAACGCGCCGTTGCAATCTCGACTTTAAATCCTGAGATATAGGGGTTAAGATGGCGACGTTGCAATAGTGTAATTACAATTTTAATACGCCTCGTGAGTGAATTTCAATAAGGTCGCATACACTGTGGGGGGACGATGGTCGGACCGGACTCCGCCGGTCTGGACCGACAATGTACCTACGGTCTTGTAATACGTTTTGAGGGGCGGAGTAATAGTTTGAAATACTTTTGCCGAACTTATATTAATTATAATTTGATACTGTATCTACTTTGTCAAGACGTACGAATGGAAAAGTCATGCTTGATGCCCTCTATAACAAAGATGTAACAGTAGGATATAAGGAGGTTAGCCTTTGACGATGTTGTTGCAATTGATATGAAAAAGAAAGAACAATCCCCGTATAAAAGAAAAATACACACAAATGAACAAGAGCGCCCGCAAGCGTACGTACTATCGCCAGTCGAGTGGAATAGACGGATGCTTCGCTCCAAGCTTTAGTCCCTCAAATGTTCTTTGCCATCCAAACTAGACATCCGACCAATACATAGGGAATCTGGTCTCTCTTCGCACGTCTCAACGATAGTAATTAAACGCGAGCCCCTCTTAGCTTCATGGCGGAATACTAAATGAAAAAAAAAAAAAAAAAAACACTCAATCCCCCCTCCCCCCCTCCATCCGTACGTAGACGGTCGAGATAATCGCGCGCGCCTCCCGCCGCCGTACACCTGCATCAGAAACTGGCCGCGGGCGCACCTGCCGGCCGCGGCGCGCGCTCCCAGGGACCAACGTTCGACGCCCGGGAGACGGGGCCGGGGGCACGGCTTTTTGTTTACAAATAAATTATTTATCGGGACGCGACGATGACCGACGGCGACGCATTCCGCGTCCACACTAACCCCGGGCGAGGGATCGCGATGTTTTCGCGTGGTCAAGAGAAATGCAGGAGAAATCGGGCGATCTGTCCTCAAATCTCGGGAGTGCGGTTTCTACCGTGGAGTGAAACCATACCAGAGGAATGTTAAAAACCATATGTCCGGACTACGCCCCAATAACTAAATAATGAGGTCTCTACCCGGCATGGGGTTGACTATACGTTGTTACTTACTTACGACGCTAAAGTTTGGTGTCCTTTCTCTCGATAGGTCGCGATGGTTAAACAGATACGGCTGAATAAATGCAGTGGTTTATTTAAAATGCTCGATGCTTTAAAACTAGTAAATATTATCAGTTTCTTGTCCACAAAAACAACACTCGGGGACTTGAGCGATGATGAGGAAAGTGTAAAAGAAAAATAACTTGGATTTAATACTTTCTTATGCAACGGTTCTTATATTAGATTTGCTAAATACGGAATATAGTATGTATATTTCATACTACATTATTTGTTAAACTTTTAGTATAATTATATTAATACGTGCTGTTTCGTGTGTTTACAAGATGACAACGAGCTACATATTTGAAACGAGGTCGCCCGCATTTTGGGGCTCAATAGGACAATGAAACGTTGATAACACCAATCCGTCACATTCATCGTCCTATTAGGGTTAAAGATAAAATTCACAAGTTGTGAATGAACCGAACAAGTCGAGACACTCTGGACCCCCGCTGAAAGCGCAAGTCCCTATCGCGGAGGAGGAGCGAGAACATAAAACATCCGGCGGCAAGGACCAAAATCTAGACGCCACCAAAACACGATGTAACGCGGGCCTTCAAAGCGGCATACGGTTCACGTCACCGGCATACCATCAGAGGTTGACGTGCTAAACAAAACTGGCGCAACGGCGACACGACTCCGACGCAGCCGGCGCCGTGGCGGCCAGATGCGCGACACGAGCGCGAAACACCTGATGCAATCACTCGGCGGCGTTTCACGCTTAGCTACGAACGAATGTCAACGGTGGCGGCTTTATTAATGGGAACAAAAACATGTCCACGAATGAAGGTGGCGTGTGTTTCAGTTGATGACAGTGTATCCAGCAAAGTGTCGCTTCGGGCGTCTCGGAGTGATCTACTTATGCGCCGTTGTGCATTACTTTGACATAAGTGTTCTAGGTACACAGTTAAACGGTGTCTTAGTAAAATCGTTCTTTACTTTATCGAATTATGTTGCCACTTATAAACACATGATCAGATCTAAGCTTTCAGATGTAAAGTTTCATGCTGCTAGACTGCCCGTCTAATTTCTGCGCACTGGCAAAAGCATCATGACGCTTCAAACGTCGTAATTATAAGCCGTTCGCTATTTGATAGACAACTTATAAGTTTAATAGACAGATTATATATAATCAGAATATGGGTAGAAATCAATCTAAAATGACCTAACAAACGCTTTGGGATGTACGAGTATGGATATGCGAGGCAGGCGGCTGCTGCCAATTTCATACTTTTTTTGTCGTGTGTTTGTCTGGTATTTTGAAAAGAGCAAAAAGATAATGTATTATCGAGTGAATCCCGTCCGCTCATAACGTGTAGCGTTTAAAACCAAGATTAGGTCGCTACGTATAATGGCAGTTAAGCACAAGCCACTTTAACGTATTGGAGCGTGCCGCGATTTAATGACAAATTTCGACTTAAGCCGTTTGCTTCTGTCACCGTTGGCTATTCGACATACTTGGGCGCGATGGAATGACAATTTTCGACTTTAGCCGTAAGCGGCTTCTTCCAGCATTGACTATTGGACGTACTTGAGCCGCGATGGAATGAAAAATTGCGACTTTAGCCGTTTGCTTCGCTCACCGTTGGCCATTCGAAGTATTCGGGCCGCGAACTATTGACAAATTTCGACTATAGCTTCGGTTAGCCGGCTAGACGGAAGCCGTCGGGGCCGCGGCGCGCGTCGGCCTGGGCGTTGGGCGCGACCGGTCCGGGGCCCCGCGGGGGACCTCCGCCGCGGACACCTGGCCGACTCATTTGCATACGCCGCCGGCTGGCGATCGAGACGGCTTCGAGTCGCCTTCGAGTGCGGTCTCGATGCAGTGACGTGTTAAGCTCTAGTAGAATACCTACCTATAGTGTGTTGGGTGGTCAATCAGTAGAAGTGGTAACACACTCATATTATAGTTTCCCTGTTGTGGTAATGTGAAAAAAAGGAATGCGATGGAAACCGCAGTTATTCTGCAATTAACCATATTAAACACATTATGTTCATAATAGCTTCGTTTATTTACGCGTACATAACATATAAATAAACCGCGATATTACCCGTAAATTCGTTTTATAAAGGTATTGTGTGGAATTTTAATGAAATGCCGCTGAATGGTTTCGAATTAAATTAGTAATACTTTTTACATTATCAAACATAACTATGAATAAGAATAAGATATAGATATAGGAAAAAAAGGCACGACTACAAAAAAGGAATAACTATAAAACTTGTATGAAATAATTATGTTACTACAATCGTGTACCACAGTTAACATTCAGTAGCAGAAAAGGTCTACTGCCATTTATAACTGTCAACGTATCTAAATATGTTCATCATTTTATTCTATTTTTGTTGTTTGAAAAATTCGGCACATATTCGGATAATTTTTAATCGCAATTAATTATAGGGCCGGGCATAGAATTCAGTAGCATTAGGTGTCGCCGTACCAATTAAAACTCAAACCACACCGCAAACTCGCTCATACCACGCTCACGTCGTGAGTGAATCGCAACCGATCGAGAACCACTAGTACGGGACAGGTCCATCCATCAGCTGTGGACGCGAGATTCGCCTTAATTGGCCCATTTGTATGCGATCGTCGCCGACGAGTGGTCCGCGGTGTCGGGTTACCGATGACCGCTTGGACGACGACGAAAAAAAAACGCACAATCAACTCCGCTGCGGGCGGAGGTGACATATGACATAATAACGACACCCAAAACGCGACAGGTGCGAAGGAGCAGTGTGCTAATGGACATATATCTGATCTATAAGAGTTATATCATCGTCCATTGGTTATAAGAAGAATAAGGAGACCGTATTGAATTGATATTAGATTTTATAGGTTGTGAGCAAGTGCCTTTGTCTTCTGTTCATACCGTAAAGAGTGAAAGGAACGAATGAATCCAGAATGGAAATAGATTTCTATGATCGATACTTCTTCTGGATCTGGAACAATTCGCTGCCTTGGAAGAATACTGTGCCAACTCAAAAATTCAATTTTTTCAAGGGACCTGACCATTTAAGTTAGCTGTTCTTTCATACTTTTATAAGTTTTGACCTATTGCTCTTTTTTTGTTAAAAATGTAATAAAATCAAAGACAATTTATTACTGTATCTATTTAACAAACAGGCATAAGGATTTGACTATTTTCCTGAAACAATCAGCTCACTTCAAATCAAATAAAAAACGCGATAAAATCCGTAAACTAGTTTCATTTAATATGTATAATATTTGCGTAAAATCAAGAAAAACAACATGTAGCATTTTTGAGTTGCAACTGCAGTTCTGGGTCGCATAACTACTTGTTCCGTGTACTGAACCCATGACCCACGGCGCCGAAGCCGTTAGCTTAGCAACTGCGCCAACGACTAGTTAACGAAGTTAAATGTTAATTTTACTAGGTAATAAGGCGACCACCTCTACGATTGACAAATCATTACGGCAGCAATCGGTGAAAGCTCTTAATTAAAAAGGATTCACTCCCGAGTCCATTGTCGCGTTGTATGAAAATGTCACGCCTATAGAAATAAAAAAATTGTATCGTGTAACTTTTATTTGTGATCTAAAAAATCAAACTCATAAATAACACCGTCTCTTTATCGAGTATTATTTATAGTACTGTGTAGTAATTAGAATTTTGATATGTCTGACTAGTAGTGCTTAGAGCTATCAAAATTCTCATGGCGATTTTTTATATTGAATTTCCCGATTGTTCACTAATTATTTCAGTTCCTGTTTACTTAAAGCCCTATTATATGCTAGGATAGAGCTGCATTGGCTTCTTTCTTCATGCGCAGGATTAAGATAAACCAAAGGCTTAGTAAAATTTCATAAAACCATCCAACAAAGATTTCAATAAAATAAAAGAGTATAGTTGGTTTTATTTCATAGTAAAATTAACATTTAACTTCATCATTATATACCGTCCTCAAGTTTACGCCCGGTTTCTGAAAGACTGATCGACGTAGAAATTAACTAATCAGTTGTCAATGGCTTTGTTCAATGTCATATGAGTTGCCAAGTATGGTTAAACACTCGGATAAAAAATCAATTTGATTTTTGTCTACAAAACCAGCTGTTAACTTATGCTCTGCATAAAAAAGATTTAACGTAATCACCGAGTACATATACGAAACAATATAGATTACCTCGAGCAGGTAGGTAGGGCTGCGTGCGGGAGTATTGTGTATTTTTCGCGGGTTCCTTGACCGCGCTATTTCGGACCGAGAATCGAACCGGCAATTCATCGCCCGGGGGAACGACACCGGCGCGGGCGCAAGGAGCGCGCGGGGTGCGGCGATACTTTTTGTTTACCTAATTCAAAATGTCTTTATTAAATATAGGCTTGGATTAAGCTCTTACTGAAGCTTTTAGAACTGTCCAGAGAAGTACCGACAAGTAACTCCGGGGTCTTGTTATCTCTCTTTTTACCCGACTGCGCCAGGGAGGGTTATGTTTTTCGAGAGTATATGTATGTATAATTGTTTGTCACGCTCTACGGCCTGTACGGCTTGATGGATTTTAGCTTGAGAGGTGTCGTTAGATTCGTATTTACTGTGAGAATGGCACCGGGTATATCAAAATTCATTTCCAAATTACACAGAAACTAAGTCTTTAATTTTTTTTAATTATATCTACTTGTTTTAATCATATATACAAGTTTGTTAAGTATAAAAACAGTAGCAAGGGGACTTGCAAGTGGAGATCAAGAGTCATTTTCACACATCCTTGTTCTCCCTCAATCGACGTTAATATGTCTGTATGTATGTATGTATCTATTACGGTAGCTGTACAAGTTGTTTACACTTGGATGTTAGGATATCACCAATTTTTTCATAGGAGTCTATACAACTAAACGGCTTTCCGGTTATAGCCAGTCTAAAGCTAGATACTACCAGTTTGAGTTTTTGTGTAAAAAGATGGATATTTTTATTATATCTAGAGAACTTATGATCTCGAGTATGTAAAGCAACGTAAGAGTTAAAACGTTTAATAAATTCATTCGAATCCGTTCACTGTTGGCGGAGCGACAAATAAGTTTCACCCACCATCGAACACTATTTGAGAGTACGGATTATCATTAAGTCATACATTATAATAACTTTAAATATCCGGAGCGTTTGCGTTGCTATATTAAATTCATGACATTGTAAGACAGTGATACCTATTTTATTTTATTTTCAATGAAGTTTATGGTCGATTTTCGAAGAGTTAGCGAACCTTGCATGGAAACTTGTACTTTCGATAGGAGTTTCTTTATGAGTAAGAATAGAAACTAACTTCCTTCGGAACTCTTAACTTGAAGGAGGGGAAACCTTCAATAACAGTTACGTAATATGTTCTCTAGCTACAGGAAAGCTAATGATTTTACTTCGTTCTTGTTGCCGCTGTCTATTACCAGGGTTTAACTTATAAAATGAACAAAATTCGATTGACGACCCGAATGGCGGAGTCGGTAGTGTACCTGCCTTCTGCGCCAGAGGGTGTGGGTTCGATCCCCACTACTGGAAAAATATTGTGTGATGAGCATAGTGTTTTTCTAGTGTCTGGGTGTTTATATATGTATAATGTGTATTTATTAACAAGAGAAAAGTATGTTTAAGTATTTCTACCAGTTTTCTAGTACCCATAGTACAAGCGTTGCTTAGTTTGGGACTAGAGAACGTTGTGTAAAAAGAATGTGTCCTAAAATATTATTAAAAAAAAAAATCCACAAAACCGCCGCCGCTCGTGGCTTGAGGCGGGTGACGAGGTGCGCTAACTGCGCCCGCGTCGTCGATGAGCTGGTCGGGATGAGCTGGAAGCTTATTGTTACCTTAACGGAACGCCTCGGCGAGCACTCACCTGTGGGGCAAACGAAAACGCGATGAGCTTAACGTGTCACGATAACTTCGACTATCAAGCGAACATTGTTTATAAGCAGTTTAGTGCTATTTATTTGCATATATTTATAAGATACACATTTAATTTAGTAAGCTATGTACGATTGGTAGTATTCATTCACAAGTCGATATTCATATAGGTTTTAAGTTGATAAATATTGGGCATTCACGGTCAGCAATAAGTTTTATACTGCTGAAATTTGGTTTGGCTTCTTCGATTATGACACAGTAATTATACATATACGCACAATTTGTGTATATAAATACAAACAAACAAACTTTTGAAGTATATATGTAATATATAACCTGTAAAATAATAAAAAAATTATATAATTATTTAAAAATAATAAATTAATAAACATAGTTACATTGAAATAGTTAAATAAATACGATGTTCGCATAACAATATTGTATTCAACGAATTATTTGCAACTCGGTAAGACCACGTGTCTTCGTAGCATAGGTACCTGACCTTTCCAATCATACAACTTACACTAAACAGCACATTTACATAACATTACTTTGGCATATCATAAAGAATAACATAACGTTATTCTTGTGATAAACCAAAGTGAAATAATCCTACTAATTCCTGAGCCACCACAAACGATCCTACTGCTAGAATGCGAACATAGAACATTCAAAAGAGATAAATTCGCGATAGCGATCTCAATGGGCGCCGGAGCGGGGCCTCTATACCTGTGCCCAGATCACCATATGTCCCGGACGGGAACCTTCAAGCTTGGGCCCATTGTTCGAGGCCGAATCGAAAGGAGGCGAGGGGTGGACGGGGCGGTGGAGAAAAAAAAATTAAAATGAGCGGCGAAACATCTGGCGCTACACCCCCGTCGGCGCACCCCCGACGAGCGAGAGGCGGATATACGCCGTCGTGGCGCGCGAAAGGGACGCCGAATCCGCCGCAACAAAACACCCTGGCGGGCGGCAAAAAATCAAAATTGGATGCGCGCACGCATCAGGGCGAATCCCGTTTCCGTATCCCGGGATTATTGTTTCATGCCGCGATCTCTCGGGCTAACCAATCTATTGTAATCCGAAGTCAATTAGAACCTGTACAGACGACAACTAGTGTCTATGCCAAATGTTTAAAAAAGTACTATACCTTGATCACCAATGTCTCTCGGTCGATACTAAATACAATTCCCCTACAGATAAATCTTGTTTGTTGACTCATACAACAGCTAATCGCGATTGGACGAAATCTGGAGTTAAGTGCAGAGATTAACACTATAAAAATTTTAATTTCAAATAGCAATGGCGAAATTTCTCGTTCGAATTATCGTTGTAAAACCATATTTGTTTCTTTTTTTCATTTATTTATTTCTTTCTCTTAAAAGCATTGTCGTTACACAAACATAAATTTCATGTGGTTCACCCAGATCCGAAACAACTGTCTGTGGGTCAGACAAATAGTTGTACCGCGTGTAAATCGAACCCACGACCCTCGACGCCGAAGCCAATACCTTGGCAACTGCGACACGGAGTTCACAACTTGGTTGTTTGCCTGCTCTTAGGGAAATATGCGCCAAGCATTGCTCAATATGCGAAAAAGCAATGTAGATAAAATACTTTGACATTTTACTAATACACTCTAATACACGTTTTACTTAATTGTTAATGTTCTAAGCGAAGACATGGTTTCGATTTCCGCAGCGGCGAAAAAGTTTACGACCATTTTTTAATACAAATTTTAATTGATTCCCTTTCTATATGAGATATCCTTTAGGATGCTACAAGGGTGTTTCAGAATATAGTTATGGTTAACAAAACAAAGCAGTTTGCGTCACAAATAATTAGTTCGTCATACAAGGATACGAGCCATTGCTTATTATCGGTATACTAGGAAATATTTCAGATTGCATATCGATAGAAATTTTCAAATCTTTCTTATCACTTTAACGTGTACATATACTAAAAATATTTTTCGCATTTAACATATTTTGAAACCGAATAAAAAAATCTATATATCATTATATATTCTATATATATTTATTTCTAAATTGTAGATTTTTGTATATAAATGAAAATAAAGTTTCGGCGCTGTGGGACTCGAACCTGCGTCTTCAAGTTTCGCGCCCAGACGATACATATACAGCGTGTCGTTACAACCGCGACAATAAATGAACACACGTATAGAGGATAACATTTTAAAATTGTATTAAACATTTACATTCTTTAAACATCAATATTTACCGAGTTATAAAATTTTCCAAAACAAACAATTTAACAACACCCTTACGTATAAAACTGTAACGTAAAATTCATTCGTAAAGGTCACAAAGCATATGAATGGGTTGAATGAATTTAAAAGAGACAAAACATACTGTTAGAAAGAGAGACTTGTAATGCGACGCTGTGGCGCGAGTTGTATAGCATGTTACAAATTTTGTTTCTTTTTTTATTTAATTAGTTTGTTTGAAAAATATTTTTTTTAATTATGGATTTTGTTTAGCGTTAATATTTTTTTATGGTTATTGGCAAGTAGCGTTAGACGTGTGTTCATTTATTGTCGCGATGGTAACGACACGCTGTATATATCCCACTGCTGGGCTTCCTCTCCATGCAGCTTTTCTCAAGACGTTTCACCGCCCAAATGCCCATCAGTTAAAATTGCAATTAACAATTTAATAGGTATCATTAAGGCAGGTTGCTCGAGTGTATTAAATTAAAATCGAGTGCCCGGTCAATGAGCTATCAGTAAAGACGACCCAAATATACTACGACCGGACTGGTCAGGCGGTTTGCCTTTAGAATTTTTTGCCTGATGGCTATGATTTGTCGTCTGACTCGCTTCCATATGCTATCTAACGTCTCAAGAGGAAAATGCTTTCCATATAATTTGGTACGTGGCGAAGTTTTTCTAAGGTATTGGCTTCGATGTCAGGGGTCGTATGTCGATTCCCACACGGGACAACTATTTGTGCGACCCACAGATGGTTGTTTCACATCCGGGTGTATGTCCACGTGAAATTTATGTTTGTAAAACGTCCTTACAAGACGGGATAATGTTATCCTAAAGTAAGGGCAATGTTTTATAAAAAAAGAAAAAAATATATAAAAGTTGAGACTTCAGCTTTCGTATTAGTGTAAGTGCAGCTTAATTGATGCGACGAGACAGGCTAATCGCACGTCATGTTAAAGAAAAGAATGAATAGCCGCTAGACGAGTTAATATCCAACCCCTGAACATATTATTACATGACACCTTAAGCACTGGCTTATATTATATATACTGATACTGATAATTATATACTGATATAATGTAATGCTGGCCTACCACCGTATGGCCACGCAGCAACCTCGGTTGTTGTACGAATGGGCAGGCTCATCCGGGTAAGAACCACGATCTCACAGGAGACCGGCGTAAAGTGGAAGCATAAATACTTTCGTGTTTCGTCTGGTGAGTGAGGTGGCCGGAGCCCAATTTTCAAAAGGTTGTCAACGTATCTGCAACCCTCGGGTGTGGCAGGTATCCATGGGCGGCGGTATTCACTTTACATCGGTGAACCGTCTGCTCGTTTGGCAACTTTTCATATAAAAAAAAATTAAAACAAATCTAGATCCGTAACGACCCTTAGTTGGACTGAGTAATTTAACTGTTACAATCAAATATGTACTTAAAACCGGTCTTTTTATACTATAGAGTGGATCCTGTCGTCCGGACCGGTAATACTCACAAATAGACGGACAAAGTCACGTTATGCGGTACAAAATCGATGGAGACAAACCGATGACCATCATAAACAGCCCGAATGCCTGTCAATAAGTTCATTAAGGTTTCCACAATCCGCTTCGCCTTTATCCTACCTGCTGTTTTACAATGGTATTTCGTTGTAACACAAACAAAAACAAAAGCAAAACCGTGACAGCCCTATCGCTTACGATGGTCCGGCGAGACGACACAAAGCGACACCTCAACAGATGTTTCGGATGGACTGCGCGGTTTTTTTCTAAATCCACCGTCGGTAAGCTTATTGTGTACTTGCAACATTTCACCAATACAATTCAAATAGACACAAACACATGTGGAACACGTTTCGAGGTACTACAATCATTTCCGTGCGGAAATCGACACCGATGGCAACGACCCGACGTTTGTCACGAAATGGTTTGACCTCTCATACGAGCACAACTTCGCTTTCTAAGTGTACCCGCCTTTTAAGACAGCTCTGAACAGATCTGATACTTGATTCTGAACAGTACCACACACTGTCTTATCAAAACCAAATGTCTTTATTCAACATAGGAGTATTACACTCGCTTATTGATAGTCAAAATACTGCCCCCGGTTCGGAAAAGAAAGCCACTGTACTGAGAAGAACCGGCGAAAGAAACTCAGCGGGCATTTTTGTTTTTTTTTTTTTTTTTTTTTTTGTAAATAGTGTAATGAATTCATGTCAAACTAACCAGTTTGGCATGAATTCATTACACTATTACAATATAAGAACTCTGACTGAAAGAGCCTGGAGATCGCTCCATTCGAATCAATGTAGCTCTTCAAGATTCAGCTAGTCTACCAGGGTTTGGAAATCGCCCAGATCACGTGACCGAATAAACTAATTAAGCACTTAATAAACACAAACAGACTAGTTCACTCGACTTAGGGCAGAAGTAAAGATCCCACTGTGTTGAGGATGTTTATCGGCAGCGATGATTATTTGGCGTGAGATGAACTCGTTTTCCACCGTTTTCCATTCAGATTCATTGTAGAGTGAAGTCTAAAGACGCAAGTGCAACGTCATTTGAGGAAAATTGAGGCTTCTTTATTATGACATATTATACTTCGTTGTGTGTGAGCTAAAGCTAACGTTTCGCAAGTTTTACTGTCACATTAATTTTAAAAAAGCCGACCAAGTGCGAGGCGGACTCGCTCACGAAGGGACCATTATCTATAGAAACGGCAAGACAATTTTGTCTGTTGTATATTTTTTTATTCCGTTTTCCAGTATTTGTTGTTATAGCGGCAACAGAAAGAAATCGTCTGTGAAAATGTGAACTGTCTAACTATCACGGTTCATGAGATACAGCTTGGTGACAGACTGACAGGCAGACAGACAACGAAATCTTAGGAATAGGGTCCCGTTTTACCCTTCGGGTGCAGAACCCTAAAAACACATAAAAACGTATGCCTAATCGTTCACATGGTTTCTTGATAGCTTCGGATTTGGATTTTACCGTTTAGATGGGCTTGGTGCCAGCTTTAAATGACCTAAGGAATGTCGTTATCAACTTCGACAAAGGCTTGCTGGGGACATTTGCACCGTTGGCGCGAAAAGCGAACGGCCCTCAGGCGGCGACGGCGTTTCCACGTGAGCGGACGCGATTCCCACGCGCGGCCCGGAAGCGACTGGGGTGACCACGGGATCGGCGTACGGAAATAGGACAGGGCAGCAGATTTTCAGTATTACACCGACATGTACGCATATAACACACAATAAACGCTGTTTAAAACTAAACTTAGCTACAATGAGCCAAAACTGTGGTTGTGAACTGCTCTAGCTAGTTCTTAAATTCACGGCTATAGTTATTTTGCAGCAAACAGACAGATTCGAAATATATTTCAATTTTATCACATGTTAATCGGCATTTAATAAATATCCGAAATATCCGATCAGCAATTTTGACTGTAGATAGAATCGCGTCGAAGCATTAAAATACCTTTATCGCAAAGGTTAATCCAAAGTTAATCTTTGGATGAGCATATAGTGGTAGGGTCACGCAACAGTGTTCTCTGTTGAACCAATAGACAGGTCCGTCCGGGTAATTACCACGACCTCACAGAAGACCGGCGTAAAGTAGGTTTTATACTTCCGCATTTTGTCTGATGAGTGGGATAGCCGGAGTACACTTTATTTTAAGGTGGCAATACATTTTCAACCCTACGGATACTGCAAATGTCCATGGGCGGCGGTTATTACTTAACATCAGGAGAACCGCTAGCTCGTTTGCCATATCTCACATTAAAAAAACGCCTATCAGCAGAGATCACAGATAAAATTTTCGATCCCCGACCCATCTCTATTGTTATTATCCATTGAAAATTTTTCTCATCGCCGCCGCTTTCGATACACTTGACTCCTTCGTTTCTTGTGTGTCGCTGGCCGCTTCAATATTGCTCGAAAAGAAATTGAAAAGTTCATCGGCCACCGACAGATATGGTCGTGGGGTTTAACGACTGCAGCCGGGCGGCTTCGCGATCCCGCGACGATGTCGTAACTCAATGGACACGAACGATGCAATTGGACATTTCGCAACATGAAACAAACTCAAAGGCACATAACGACGTAACGATTTTAACGACCCTCACTGCGTAATAAATTTTTATGTTGTTTTAATCGTATTTAATGTGAAATGCGGTACAGTACAAAAGATCATATCTTTATAGCATTACATTGTTTCAAACGATAATAATTTTGATATAATTATGGCTGTTGAGTGGAAACCATTTTTAACAAAATTATGTCAATGTGTTATTACACAGCAAAATTAATATTTTATTACATATGTATATATTGTTTTCTTTTTTTAAATTTTTTTCTTTTTTTTTTAAACGATGTGTTTTGATTTTATTTTTCATATTGTTATGCTCATCTCATTTATTTCGAATGTAATTACTGTTTTGTTTTTGTCAAAGCAATGTTTCTGTCTATGTCTAATTACTACGAAAACAATAATATACAAATGATTATGGATATGTAGAAACTATATAACTCCAAAAAACGAAACATTAAAACTTAAAAAAAATAACTATAGCTAAAATAATGATACCATTCCCGCAAGGTATGCATATTGTGTAAACCACTCTTAGCGGTTGTTGGATCTGTTTTTATTATTATTGCAACTTATTGCGTAACCTGAACAGTGAGCAACTGCTTATTGGCATTGAAAATACTGTACCGGCCTGATGTCATGATTCACTTACTGAGTGATAGACTAAGGAACCAACAAAAAAAACTTTGTCCCGAAAAATTTAACAGAATCCCTAGTTAGCCTGGTCAACCTAGCCCAAAGTTGCCGTCGTAATTTAAAAAAAAAAAACGCCCGCATATTACACTCCGCATACTTTCGTATTCGAACATCTGTCCCTCCGCGTTCCCCGTCCCTTTCCCACAACATACACAGCTCGCTATTGCGGCCTCGGTCTCACGCGGACGGCAGGTAGTACTTGTCACTGTGCGCAAGTGTGCACACGTTCAGCTCAAGTGTGGGAAGGTGTGTCTAGGAGCACAGGCGGCCAACTTAATTATAGACGACTAAATCGGAAATACCACACGATATAGAATTAAGCAAACAACAAAAACACCGAACGATACGTGGCTCGCCTTACAGTACTCGATGACACCGATTCTTATCACCTGGATATGCAGGCAGAGATCCCGGAACTCAATTTTACCAGTGCACCGCTTTCACGTTGTAAAAGTACGGACGTAACAGTATTTAATATACAATAATAAGACTGGACCGACTAAGATGATAGATACACACGCATCCTTTTGGCACAATCTTAAATTCATTTGAATTAGGGGTGAAAAGCTCGCATAAAGAACGAAATGTCAATGCATTTCTAGAACTTATAGATAAAGTAAGAAACAGTAGAGGACGTAAAGCAAACTTATCATAAGTAAGTAATCACCGCCACCAATAGAAATTAGCAACAGCAGAGGATTTCATCCAACGGCGCCACGGAGTCATCAACATGATGACTCCGTGGCGCCGTTGCCAAGGTATTGGCTTCGGCGTCGGGGGTCGTGGGTTCGATTCCCACACGGGACAACTATTTGTGCGACCCACAGATAGTTGTTTCGCATCTGGGTGTTTGTCCTCGTGCAATTTATGTTTGTAAAACGTCCTTACAACACAGGATAATGTTATCCTAAAGTGAGGGCAATGTTTTTATTCAATAAAAAAAAAAAAAAAAAAAAAAAACCCAATGCTTTCTATTTCTGAGAAGAACAGTCTTTCTATAGTATTATCAACGACAACGACCATTCCAAAGCTTGTCCCCGTGCACTTCGTAAATGACGAGCGGTTAACTTTAAAATATCTCGCGGCCGAAGGAAATTGATTGATGGGCGCATTCATCGAGTTCGAATCCCGGGGGCATACGGGACACCAGCTAAACGGTATAATAACGGCGGGAATGAAGGCATCTGCATATGCTTCCCGTGGGAATAACGAAAGGCAACAGGCTTAAGGCTGCCTCAGAACCAACAGTTATGAAAGAAACACTTCAATATATGTATTTCACTCATCTTCATAGAAACGCTTATGGAAGGACAGAATATGCAAAGGGTAGGCAATAATGGAAGGCGACTTAATCCGAATACTTAAGTACTAACAGAAAGACGTTTCAGATTTTGTAGATAGAATCAAATGTAACTATCTAGAAACTCATCACCATTCATGAATTGCAGATCAATTCAACAGCTTTACCGACTTTTAAGGAGCAACACTTTTGGTCCCCAATAGTTTGCACTGTTACCACCAAACTTAGTCGCAACCCAGAGCCGTGGTCCGTGATGACCGTCGGGGCTAATTTACTTCGCAGGACCACCACCTGTGTCACAACCGGGAGCCAAAAATGAGGAAAGAGAAGAGGAAAAGTGGCCAATGATTAGGGCCAATTTTCCAGGCAGGACATACATTGGCCAGACGCTGGAAGATCCTGGACCGAGATATATCGCCGCCGGGGGCACTTTTTACCAGTTCTTTTACAAACGTGTCTAAATTAATGCCATTTAATCAAATATATGTTTGTTCGTCTGCGCTACTGAATCCAATTCTTCAAACAAGGCAACCTTTCTTTGCAAGCAAGTAAGTCCAGGCAGGTTCTATGGTACCTTTTTGCAAGGTATTATCAAGTGTTCAGCCGCTTAGTTAACTACTAGACTGTGTGTGTTCAATCTTGAGAAGACAGTAACGAACTTGAAATCCATCTGCAGAGTTGAATGTGAATCGGTTGACGGTGTACACTTGCCACCAGGTGAGCGACTTGCTTCTTTGCCACACAGAAGACACAGCGATAAAGCAATAACTTTCACACATCGATGGTAATCGATTACGTCATTAAATTTAATGTCATTGAATTCCGCCCAAGTCGTGTATATTGCGATCGTATGGAGGGCAAACAATGCATACTAATCGACTATAAATAAAGCGTGAACCAATATTTTTTTATACCGTCACTTTTATACATAGTAATTAAATTATAAGTTGGCGCGGCGATTTGAACTCAGGTTGCTTAAGTACAATGACTTAAATGCAAGCTTTAACGATTGACTATTAAATACAAATACTTTTTATCGCGTAAAATCTAATTAAATTATCTCTAGGCGAGGCAGCTGTTAAAAGGTAGTTCGTGATTTAATAACTTATCGCATTGAGGTGCTCGAGTGCGATCATGATTTTTGATCGAGAGTTACAATATTGTACATTTACAATTCATATTCATCCCAACCCTTCGGTTCAGTGGAGCGTCCCTCGTTACGGAGCGCTGGGGGCGCCTGCGCACCCCAAGCGGAGGATGTCTGCCGTTTCGCTCGCACTCCACACGAACAGATAAGTCCTTCGCACTCGCCCGATACGCGGGTGGATTTAGGGTCACTCGGGGACTATATCGGTACCGCTGGTATAACGAAATTGTTTTTTTTTTCCTAGCCGTCCTGGTGAAAAGTTAAATTAATTTGTAGTTTGTGGTCGTGTAAGCTTTTAAGAAATTTATTACAGTTTTGGGGAAACTACGAATGCGGCTCACACGGATATCCATTTGCGATAAATTTCAGATAAGACATTTCTTCTCTTAATTAAATACAGATTGATGGATGCGTCCGACTCAATTATGTTAATTAGAAAAGTGTGATATGGGATCAATGGGCTTTTACTCGGAGCTTACCTTATATAAAATTAGATAATAATAATTTACGTATTTCGATGGTCATATAATTAATTAAATTGCTCAAGACATAATCGAGTTTCGCATTGTGATAAAATCACGGCCACGTAGGGCGCAAATGAACCGTAATCTTCGTAAAATACATATAAGGTAAGAAGGATGCATACAAATAGCCAGTAATACTTTTAATTTTTTTTTAACTGCCGCTTTCATCGCTTTCCTTCCTACGTATTGTCCGGCCGTTACATACCGTTTCTTATTGTATTACATTATCCGCATAAAAGCGGTTAAACAAGGCATTATTATTAATCGTAGACATAACATATAGACATATATCTTCACAAGAATTTGAGTGAAAAAATATTAATAAAAGTCAAAAACCCTTTTTTAAACGCTAGCATCATAAGAACGGGGAATTTGATAAAAAATATATAAAGTTATGAGTCATTAAAACACTACTTGGCACTAGCCAAGAGAATAAGTTCTCTCGCTCGAAAGCTTTTAACGATGGTAGGGCCACGCAGCCTCGGCTGTTGCACGAATGGGCAGGCCCGTCCGGGTAAGTACCACGACCTCACAGAAGACCAGCGTAAAGTGGAAGTATGACAAATACTTTCGCGTTTCGTGTGGTGAGTGAGGTAGCCGGAGCCCAATTTTCAAAAGGTTGTCAACGCATCTGTAACCCTTGGGTGAAGCAGATGTCCATGGGCGGCGGTATTCACTTAACATCAGCTAAACCGTCTGCTCGTTTGGCAACTTTTCACAAAAAAAAACCGCTGAGCATGACCCCAGTCCGCGATAGACTACTATTCACACATTTCCGTACCTTAGCGGCGAGGAGCGTATAACAAACCTACAGTTCAATTAGTTAACATATGAACCAGAATAAAAAAAAGCAAATAAACTTATCGAGTTATCTATAAAAACTTGTATCGAACGGGTACATAGTGATACACATGTAATGTTTACGCGGTGGAAACGTCGGAGCCGTAGCGCGGGGTCGCCCTTTGGTGCGCCCGCGCCGGCACGCGATTGGCGCCCCGCGCGCCAGGTGCTCACCCCCTCACCCCGCTGCCCCCCGCTCCACCACCGCCCGCACAACGGATCGGCGCGCGCGTTTAGTGCGGTACCGCCGTATCGATACGCACATATCGATGCCACTCCCCACGAGGCCTTCTCGCAACCCTTAATTGCGGCCTCAGCAACAGCTTATGATGCTACACGGTTACGCCTGACCTGGTGGTCCTCTCCCTTAAATAGCGGCAACGGCACCCTCTTGCCCTACTTACGCTATCCTTCCATCCATTCCTATCCTATTGATTGATGGATATACCACGAGAGATTAGAAATAGCTAATTAAGGAGCTAATATAATAAACTAATCTCCAAGCTAGTAGTTCAGAATCACTATGAATAGCATTTTGTTCTAAAACTTTGCATGAGACCTGAGACTGTCAGTGTACGTCGAGCACATATTGCTGCAATTAAGATGACAGAAGAAAACTTTATTATTTAGATTAACTCAAATTGTGGGCAGCTTTATTCGGGGGCTTTAATTAGTACATCATGAAATTCTTCATTTGATTTCATTAACTTAACGTGAAGGGCTTATTAAAGCTTTTAAGTAGAAACCTTATAAATGAAACGACCTGCTCCATATAAATATAAAACCAGTTGCAGTTCCCGCCATTCATAGAATCACTATAAGAGTTTTAATTTTGAAAATTAGTTTCAAATTAAATTTTCCCTTTAGAAGATGCGTATGTTCAGAAATGAATTCGCGGATTAATCAACGCTTTTAATTAATTTGCGATTCGTATCTCGTTGAAGCTCGAAATTGCCAATGGATTTTCAATTTTACTATTATAAATTCGTTTTGTGACACATCAAAGCATCGTGGCTCGAGTCGAGTTGTTATAACAGCTAATGGTTATAATTATCAATTTAAAGAGAAAAGTTTACTTTAAAAAGCCATGTGCAAGCTGCCAGCAATGAAAGTGCTAGATTCCAGTGGCACTTGTATTATAAGCTTTAAATATTTGTTTTAAGCGCCTGTTATAACGTTTGAATTAATCTAAACATCGACAACTGACGTCGGCGCATCACTACAATTGAAAAAAAGCGTACTAGCTCGCGCAGGTAAGTAAATGGCACAAGTCGCGAGTGGGACCAACAAAATTGCTTGAAGTTAACGCAAATAGCTACATTAAGTGCGTGGGAGCTTTTGGCGGAACTTGAAAGAGAAACACGCCGTGATAACTTAATGTCCGGGCGCTCGATTTTAATTCAATAAACACGAGCAACCTCAGTTCGAATCCCCGGGATCGGCACCAGCGAAATTGTTGGTTTTTAAATACTGAATTATCACGTGCTCATCGGTGAAGGAAAACATCGTGAGGCAATCTGCATATTTTCGACACAATAATGAAAAAAATATTTCGAAGATATATGTAAAGTCAATTCGCGGTGGGCTAGCGTGGCGGACTAAGCCGCAACATCCTCTGTTCAGAGGAGGCCTTTGCCCGACAGGGGGACATATATAGATTGCTACTTTACTTTACTTTTTATCGCCCACGTTTACAAGTTAAACGGAACGTTATACGCATTAAAACATTCACAGTGACTGTGGGTCAGAGGAAGTGCCATAATTTTTGAGTTTATGTTGCCACGATTTTGAAAACAATAATAGCTTGTTTTCAATCGCCTTTGACTGTACAGCCTCAGGGAGAAGGTTCTTCTCCTTGTCCTCTCTGACCTCACAGTCGCTGGACGTTTTAGAATACATTTAAATATCACAGTTGTACGCTTAGTCTGCACACTGTCTATAAAGATAGCTTATTTTCGGAACATAAAATGTATCTTATGTTACGCGAGAATCTAGGTTCGGAGCTCAAGCTAATATTTTATTCGGGTCCATTCAGCTGTGGAAAATTCCATTTAGGCACGAGAACGGAACAAATTTTCTGTTTTTTATCAGAGTTCAAAAAAAAGGAGGATACGTCCTCCTTTTTTAAACTATGTATATTCGGGGTGCATCTTTTTTATGTCTGTATGCACACAGATTTCTCCGAGGTATGTTAGCCGATATGCGCAATCCTTTTTTTTAATAGCGTAATAGATCGGGCTGACCATTGTCAAATCTTAATTGGAAAATATAAAGTCCGCAAGGGAATTTAAAACTAAAACTCTTTTTCTAGTTTGATTCTAAAAAAATCATTTATCAACAACTAACGTATCCCATGAAAAAGTTTTGAAGATTTCGAAATATAATAACGTTCCTAATAGATATTATAATAACTTATTTGCATAAACATGCCACAAGCGGAGCTTTAAAAATGTACTTCATTAACGGTAGTTAATTTCTAACCTTAAAGCAACGGCTAAAAGAGTTTCTCTTATCGTACTTAGTTTATGTATCAGTTGATTAACGATTGCCACGGGCCTAAGTAAATCAAATTTGAACGAACTAGTTAAATACCATGATTACTTATTCTGCGTTATTTTAGCTTTACCTAAACAAAATCAGCGTCAAAATCGCTCCAGTGTTGATTGTTTTCTTATTTTAGGCTTGTACCCAAAGGGTAAAACGGGACCCTATTACTAAGATTCCGCTATCTGCTTGTCTGTCTGTCACCCGGCTTTATTTCATGAACCGTGATAGTTAGTCAGTTTCATAGATTATGTATTACTGTTACCGCTAGAACAACAAATACTAAAAAAAAACAATAAAAAATATTTAAGTGGGGCCCCCATAGACAACAGACATGATTTTTTTTGCCGTTTTTATAGATAATGGTACGGATCATTAGTGCGAGAGTCCGACTCGCATTTGCCGTGTTTTTTTTTATAAGAGACGACGGCAGCCGGACAATCGGCTTATATGATACAACTGAAACGGTATGTGTATGTTAGAAGCTGCAAGCGAGCTGGCGGTTCCCCTGATGTTAAGTGATAACCGGCGCCCATGGACATGTGCAACACCGGTAGGTTGTCACTTTTTAATAAACTGGGCCAGGTTACCTCACTCACATGACGAAACGCAGTTCAAAAAACGGTCTTCTGTAAGGTCTTGGTACTTCCTCGGACGGACCTGTCTATTCGTGCAACAGTTTAGACTTAACGTGGCCCTACCTAACGATAAATCGCACCACACAGTGTATTTACTGAGAACTTAATGCCCGTCTGCGTTGTTTGCATTTGTTTTGTGTTAATTCCTTTGCAATGATGCATTTGGAATGGTAAAGCAAGCCCGTTTACGCAAAAGCTACACGGTCCAACGTTAGTTGGCCATTTTCTGTGTACCCCTAACAAACGCCACTTCTCATGCATGCACATACGTCGATCAGAACACGCGGAGAGATCGTGTGACGCGAAACACCAGTAGGAGATCGAATAGGGCTAAGGTATTCCCTGCCTGTCGTAAAAGGCGACTAAAAGGGGACACGGATTGGCAGCAGCACGAAGTGGTCTCGAACTGCTGCAAGATGGTGAGGGAATCGGGGCAGGTCTAACCTGCTCTGAGGAGTTCTCACGCGCAGTACTGAGGGACGCCGGTGCGTTCCGTGGGAGATCCCGGAGTCCCTCCAAACGTACAGAGGGTGGCCACCGAGGGGCTTTTGGTGGGTAAGAACCTCAATTAACCCTGTCATGTGAAGTGACAGGGTATCTTTTGAAGAACCGATTAGTAACCGTGCATACGAGTCGAGAGCCACCACACCAACCCAACTGAATAGTTCTCGCGTCGGTGTATACAGAAATCTTAATAATAACCCATTCGATTTAATAAAACATGAGCGTATCGTTGCACATTCATACGGCTCACATAAATAAAAAAAGGTAAGTAGATTATAAATTAGGAGGTTGCCTAAGATGAGAGGCGTCAGTGAGGCGCAGAGTACCGCTACGCGTTAATTGCCCAGCGTGAGTAATCTAAATGGTAATATCGGTTAACATCTCCACGGGTTCCGTGTTACGAAATCGTATGCGTAGTTAATGTTAGCAACACTAAAGGAAGTGTCATTCTATGTGGTATAAATGAAGCTGCTCGAAGCATTTCATAGTCTTCATCGGCTGTCAACAAGAAGTATAGGCGATAGTGCCGCCCAATCGGTATCACAAATTATATCGCTAGAGCTACTACGGTGATTTGGTGAAAGTATTTATATTTCTACCTTCTTAGCTCGATTAAACAAAGTAAAGCTAACAGTAATTATAACCCTTCTTGAGGCAGACCATCGCGGCGGCTTCGACGGGAGAGACCTAAGCGGTGAGAAGTAGACGCGGATTGACTGATCAATTAAACCGTAACCAAATTTAAATTAATTTATGTATTAATTCCCGATAATACGACTTCTTCGCAAAATTTATGGACCGAGGTGTCTAAAATTAACTCAAGGTCCACCTTTCACAACACTTATAGTCCTAAACGCACACGCGCTGACACTGTCGCTACATATCGAACACATGCAATGTAATGTGAAACATATATAATTAATCCTGCAGACCAAAACTTGTTGCACTTTCAGGATCGAAAGCCGCGACCGCCGCTCGCAGGTCCTCAAATCCACTGGGGGCACAACCGAGTCAACTAAATTACGAAATCTATACACGGGCCTTAAGCCGTCAACGGGGGCCGAACTCGTGCAATAAACACGTATGGATACGAAACAAAACGATCTGCACATTGAAACGAAAACGTTTCGCAAGAGGTCAAAACCTCAAGCGCCCCTTAACCTTAATCGCTTGCCCGTTGACATTCCCCTTATTTGAAGAGGTCATCGTTTACATACGTAGTACGTGAAGCAAGGAGTGAGACAATGCCACTCTGGGTCCGGATGCTGTCTACGTCGCGAGATGTGACTTTCAACGAGTTAGTGTTCACTGTGGTATACCAAAAACAATTTGAACAACAGCTTCTGCCAAACAAACTCGACCGTATACGTACCGAGGCCTTAAAAAAGACTGACGAGACGATTTATACTTAAGTGATACATCTAGTGACTGAGGTAACCCGTACTCTGATATTTTCGTTTATTTTTTGAAAAGTTAGCATGTGAGCAGACGGTACACCTGGTGTTAAGATAAAGGACATGTGACATTTAGTTAGATATGCTATGATGATGCCAAGCTTTAAAAAGTGGGCCCCCGTTGTACCACTCTCCAGGCTAAACGCGAAGGCATACTACTTATACGACGCCGGTCTTCTGTGATGCCGTGTTGCTTCCCCGGGTGGGACCAGGTTGCCCACTCAAGCTACAGCAGAAGCTGGTGCGTGGCCCTACCACAGTTGGCAATACACCCGCCACCATCTTTTGTGGTGTGTCCATAAGCCCGCTGCCCATGGACGCTAAGATTGGCAACCATACTTTATTAAAATATTTGGAAAAAGTACGAAAAGATTGTCGCCGTTGTGGGAATCGAACCCACGTCTTCGGCATTCCCACAACGGCGACAATCTTTTCGTACTTTTTCTACATATTTTAATGTTCAATCTTAAGTGCAGAGATTAGCACTATAAAAAAATTAATTTCTAACCATACTTTATATTAACGTATCCTACTTCATTTTTGGCGAATCAAGAACAAAAAAAAACAGTTGGCGACCCTAATGGACACCTCACTACTTTAGATCTGTTGATCCGCTTGCTTAGATGCCATCCCTTCATTACAAATAAAAAAAGTATGTTTATCGAATGGTATTCAAGTACTCAAGCAGCAACATACTTCGTCTTCAAAATATTATTCGTTTGTTGATTTTGACATTAAGAATAGGCATTGGTCAGATTAATAATTTAACGATCAATTGTTCCAATTCAAAGGGCAGACCTTTTGGCAGCTGAGTGGGAGAAGTTAAGGAAGGCTGAAGGCGTAAGTGTCGCAAGGCGCCAATAGCTGATAGAGCACGTCGCGTATGCTCCAGCGATAGCCAGTTCGAACCCGTTGTCCTTGCCAGGCCGTTGACACGACCTCGTGTACAGCGTTATCGTCTTCCGTGCACACACGGAATTAGAAACTGAACCGTATGACTAATTGAAACCCGATTGAAATTTTGCTGTAGGATACATCTAAAAGTTTTCAAGGTCAGCTACGGGTCGATTAAACTTACCTTTGCGTAGATTGGTATAACACTCTCAGATTTCATAAATACTTATAGTCTAACTAACACATACATATACATACTAACATTGAAGAAAAACTAAATGTATTATCGTACAAAGCGCAAAAAAAATATCACAACGACACAGCAACGTGATAACTTAAAAGAGAACCATTCTTAAAATTCTAGAGTAAATAAAACAACAAACCATACGAAATCAATACAAGTAGTTCCACGTTCTACAGCACATTTAGAAACAACAAAACAACTACAGAAGTTTGAATGGCAGAAACGACGAGCAAGAGCGCAAGATAGGGACGAAAACAAAAACCAAAAAACAAAAAAACAAAAGCGAAACGTGAACAACAAAAACAAAACGCCACACAACGGGGTGCAAGTCAAACTAAGACACGACCAAATCGTGGCCAAAGCGACAACGGATCAGCCGCTAAACTGGTTCTAAGGTGGCGGCGAGGCGGGTGCGCCCTCTCACCCATTGCGGCGGCACGTCGGCGTGCTGATGGTGGTGGTGCTGGTGGTGGTGGTGGTGATGGCGGCGGTCGGGCTGGTGGTGGCCGTTCGCCGCCGCGCACGATGTCGCCGCCACGCCGTACTGGCGTGCACAAAGCGACGTTCAGGTTAGACTGGCATTCGTGGTGTTGCATTAATGTTTAACGTAATGTGGACACAAAAAACATGATAAACACTCTTGAGGCTTTCCACCAGTGGGCATGGAGGGAACACCTCTTTCACCTCTTCGAAATACATACGTCTGTGCACACGTGATACGTGAATGAATAGTGGCAAGTGGTAGTCTGAAAAGGAACTCGAATCACAAATCTGACATCCCCAATCATTAGGCCATATATCTTAAGTGTATGTGTTAGTATTAGCAATGTACCTGTAAATTCAATTCAAAAACATATTAATTTACAGATAGCCATGAGATCTACGGGTATGGATGTGATATGATCTCAAAACGTACAAACAGTACTCGGTTATTTTATAATTAAGACCATTGGAAACTTTTCCTATCGGGGCCTAACCCCTATTTAGATATTTGGACGGAATCTATAGTTTCGTCGGTCAGCTTTAAAGTTATTGTATCAACAAACGAAATAATTATATGGAAAGAAATACAAAGTTACAGAAGAACCATTGTCGCCGAATTTGAACAAACCCTTTTCACTCAATTATGACTGGTCATCGAATTTATTGTAACGTATTATAATTGTCCGATTAAAACCTAAAATGTAATATGTAAATGTTATATGTGAATGTAAATGTTTAAAACAATTTTAAAAAGTTATCCCCTATATGTGTGTTAATTTATTGTCGCGATTGTAAAGACACGCTGTATATATATATATATATATATATATATATCCCTAGTAACTTATGTATCAATTTTTTTATAACGAAGTTACATGAACGCTCAAGCGTCCATTTGAACAAAGGTATTTTGAAATTGAATGTATATTTTTAAGTATGTCTCAAACTTTCACCACACAGCATGGTCTCGAGCAGACTTATGACTAATATAACTGACGTATAACATAATTCCATTGACCGTTTGTTTGTTTCGCGCGTAAAGTTTACCCACACCATTTCCGGAAAAGTTGCCCGAGCGAATTTTCCGTGGGCGCGCTGAGCTCGGCCGCAACGTGGCTGCGTTTAATAACCGCAAACACAACCAACCGCCGTCCGGCCGCCGATTCGGAAACATCAAACCCCCCAAGTATGAACAACGGATAGCTTCGCAGGACGAGGGCTCGTTGAGAGGCAGTTAAGTGGGGGCGTCCCCTGGAAACGGACAGCTCGAGCTCTCTAGGGATCCATGGGACCTCCCCGTGGCACATCTCCGCTAAGTGCTCCGTCCTACGGGAACATTAAGTCAAAACAGATATCCTCATCAATCGGAGAAAGGTTTGAAAATAATACTTTCGCGTTTCGTCTGATGAGTGAGGTGGCCGGAGCCCAATTTTCAAAAGGTTGTCAACACATCTGGAACCCTCGAGTGTAGTAGATGTCCATGGGCGGCGATATACACTTAACATCAGGTGAACCTGATCGCTTGGCAACATTTCACATAAAAAAAAATTGCTCTGACGTTAGACTATCTCAGACAATAATATAAGAGTGCCAAACCAGCACAGTTGACTGCTTCAGAGGTTTTGAGAGTCGAAGATTACGGATGAAATTAATCTATGGCGCGAGAAAGATTTGAAAAGTAGGTAAAGGCGAGCGTTTAACCGAGCTAATTGGCTTTATGAATAGGGCGTACGATTATTTTCCTTTAAATTAATTTATTTTCTTTTGTTTTTATATCACCATAGTTTTTTATGTACAGATTAAAATCTGTTTCTGATTCTGATTACATTTTGTTTTCTTTACTGTAGTGTGTATTATTTAAAAGTTATTTATTTCATTTGTTTTTTGTTGTGTGCGTCCTTTTTTGATAAATAAATTTATTTTCATTCTTTCTTATGGTTTATTGGATATATCGGCAGTGCTGTAACTAATGTGCAATTGAGCGCAGTTGTATCGTTGTGAAAGAGACAAAACATCCGTGTAATAAATGTGAATAGTGAAATCCCTGTCTATCTTTTGGGTTGACGGCGTGAGGTATACGTGCGTAGTTGGTCCTTCTATTTTTTAAAGAATAGATCGTAATATTCGCTGGCCAAGCGATGAAGCCTAAGGGATGCGCTAAAACCATCCAATAAAGAACAAATGGTTATTTCTTACAAACGCTAGGGAGGTGCGTGCATTGTAGAATCGAATCAACGAATACAAAAACGCGCGACATACTGTGTGAAGGCATCGCACTATAAAATATTCGTTTAATTTGCTGTCACCATTTATATATTGATAGAATAATAATTACTCAATAGAAAACTGTCAAGCAAGTAAAATGAAGAAATAATATCCATTATAGAGAAGACTTTTCAATTTATTACACTCGTTTAGCTTTTGTTTGATACACAATTACTATTTATATTACATTTGTATGTATTTGTTTAATAAACAGATGATATCAATATATGCTACTCTATAATAGTGTAACTTTTAAATGATTTTCCCGCGACATATTCGTTGTGTCGATACGAAGACATAACCATGCAAATTTTTTTGAAAGGGTAGATCAATCCTCACTCACCAGATACTAACAAGTAGAACATTATAACTTATTTTAACTCAAACCTGCTATCACTGACTGATTTTCTGATATCTCAACGCACAGCCAATTTTTGTGGGATAATAAATTGGTGAATCGACTTTAAAAATGGGTCAACATTATATCATAGTCATCTAATAGAGAGAGAAGGCTTCCAGGCAAAAATAGACAAATATCATTCAACGCGAATTTCGCTTCGAGATCCACGGCCAAAGGGTAGTGTGGACCCTCGTAACAGCAAAGTTCCGCTAGCATTTAGGGTAATAGAAAAAGACGCGCAAGTTTCCGTAGAAGCGTTTGTCTCGACCCCCCCCCCCCCCCCCCCACTTCCTCGCGAGGGGAGAGGCCAGGCCGAGGTGGCGCGGTACACGAATTAGCCACTCCGATGGCCCCCTGCGTCCTCAGCTTTACGACCGACGGAACATCCACGGACTGTCGGGTGCAAAAGCGCTAAGAATTATTCTTTAGCCTTGCAAAATTACAACCGAATGTACAGCATTTATATTACAATTATTAATCTTTAAACACATTTTGCCAACACCAAGCGCTGCTTAGTACAGTGAAGTGATAAAATGTTCAGGGTCTCTTAGCATCTCCCTTTGAGCGTATGGACGAAACAATAGCTCATTATTTTTTTTTAAACTGAGAACGCTCATTGTATGGAATTCAAAAATAACTTTTGGGGCAGAATTAAATTCATTAAGCACTTCTGTCGGCGACTGTCCGTCTGCAGGGACCAAGGGAAGGCCGCGAATTAAAAGAGAGTTACCTCCCCATTACTGTCCCTTCGCCCACCCCACCCGTCTCGTGCTGTGCCTCTAAGACGATACAAAGGGACCTTTATTTGTAAACGTTGCTCTTTAAATGTCGCTATATCTTAGCTGAGAGTAAGTAAAGCCACCGAAGCGCACAATGGATTGCACACTGCTGTCAGTGTTTTCTTTTCGCATTCACATAAAAGTAAAGTAAAGTAACAGCCTATACATATCCCAATACTGGGCAAAGGCCTCCTCTTTTCTACAGAGGGTATCAGGCTCTAGTCCACCGCGCGGCCCCACTGGGGAATGGCGAACTTCTCATATCTTCGAAATATATACATTTTGTTATTATTTCGAAAATATGCAGGTTTCCTCACGATGTTTTCCTTCACCGTTGAGCATGTGATAAAGCCAGCAATTAAAATTAACAATTTCATTGGTGCTAGCACCGGGGATCGAACTCAGGTTGCTCGAGTATATTGAATTAAAAACGAGTGCCCGGACACTGAGCTATAACGGCATTCACATACCAGTCGAATAATTTATTTGCTACAAGTTGTAAATAGATGTTACAGTAACGATATGCCGATAAACATAAATGCCGCCCCCTTTCCAGGCACTGCAAATTTTTTACTGATTAAATCATAAACATTATCGTATTATAATTTTATCTACCTATATAAAATATTTTATTGAACATGTAACAACGAGTATGTTATTATAAAATTTAAACAGGGCATACATTTTTTACAAATATTCTTTCACCGAGTAAAATGGATTTTCTTTATAATGACATACCAATGTAAATAATGGTATTTCGGTTAGATTTATAATTTCTTGGATAATTGTTTACCATATATTTTAATTGTCATGTATCATGGGCTGGTGTTTGACATTTTAATTCGTTATTGTGATGAAGATAATTTATTTGTATGGCGTGCTATGTGCCTTTGAGTGTTTTGGAAGATATTTATTTATAAATCTTTTATATTAGGTTGGGGAAAAACTCTTTTCGCAAATAGTATGTATGAACTTATAATATAATCTCTTTGGCTATACCATTTGTATCAGGCTGGTTTTGGTATTATTAAAAAGTTACAATTTTAAAAAAGATAATTCCAAATTCAAATTAGGAAAATGTGTGATTTTCATTTGTTTTTCTTACTGTTAAGATGAGTACTGTTAAGATGAGTGATTATAAAGAAGAAATTCGATCCATTTTAAATTTTTACTATAAAAAGGTAAAAACGCAATGCATGTCGCGACAAAATTTGTGATGTTTACATACACCTAGTGCAGCGTCTGTGAGAGTAGCACAAATTTGGTTTAATCGTTTTCATTCCGGAAATTTGGCATCAAAGATACACCTCGCGCTGGGCGCCCTGTGAATGAATGAATGAATGAATGAATATACTTTATTGCACACCAAAAATAAAACAAACAAAAATTAAAACTTAATGTAGAAGTAATGGGTACAATGGGCGGCCTTATTACTAAGAGTAATTTCTTCCAGGCAACCTTTGGATGGATTGAAAAAGAAATAATTTAGGAATAAAGGTGTGGGTTAACTATATGAATGAAAAAGAAAAATACTTATCTACAATTATAATTCGTAATAATAAGATATTTATAAATATGTAAGTAACATGCCATATATACGAATACATATATCATTGTTAGGGAATAACATTATAGAGATAAGTAATGATTTTTTACAAGATTCTTGAAAATATTTAATGATTGAGCACGCCTTACTTCTAGTGGGAAGTCATTCCAGAGTCGCGCCCCTTGCACCATAAATGAACTACTCATAAACTTTGTTTTGTGCGTAGGAATTTTCAGCTCCAAGTTTTCTGATGATCTCAGAGACTTAGAGTGGGAATCACAAAGAAATTGGAAACGTTCCTTTAGATAGGTGGGATAAGAGGGATTAAACAGAATTTTGTAAACAAGATAAAGTATGTGAGAATTCCGGCGAAGACGAATAGGCAGCCACTTGAGCTTAGCACGGAAATGTGAGATATGATCATATTTGCGCAAGCCAAATATGAATCTTATGCAAAAATTTTGAATACGTTCTAGCTTATCAAGCAGCTCCTCGGTGAGATCTAGCCCTGTTACGAATAAAATGGATGCCATTTTTGAAAAAGTGGAGCAAGATCGACATATCAGTAGTTACGATGTAACTGAAGAACTGGGAATCGACCACAAAACAGTTTTGGCGCATTTGAAAAAAGCTGGGCTCATGAGCTCACTGACAGAAACCTAATGAACCGTGTACTCATTTGTGATTCTTTATTACGACGTAATGAAATCAAACCATTTTTGACACACCTGATAACTGGTGATAAAAGGTGGAAAACGTACGACAATAACGTGTAAAAAGGTCGTGCTCAAAGGCTTGTCAGGCTTCACAGACTCTGGCGAAACCCGGGTCAGGGGTGTGATTTTTCATCATGATAACGCTAGACGTCACACATCTTTAGCCACTCTGCAAAAATTAAGAGTTTGGCTGGGAGGTGTTAATGCATCCGCCGTATAGGCCTGACCTTGCACCTTCAGATTTCCACTTGTTTCCGTCTCTTCAGAATTATTTAGGCAGTGTCAGATTAACATCACGAGCGGACTGCCAAATCACTTGTCGCGGTTTTTTGATCAGAAGCCCCAGAATTTCTATAGCAATGGGTTCATGTCCCTACCTGCAAGATGGCAGAAAGTTATTGAACAAAATGCCATCTACATACTTTAGTTAAATGTAAATAAACTTTATTAAAAAATGTTTTGAATTTTCATATAAAATGCGAAGAAACTTTTTCCCCAACCTATTATATATACGCATGATAAAGTTAATATTTATAAACTTATCGAAATAAGATCTGCAGATGAAATTGTTATCTACTTGGGCAACGATCTTTAGGAAACTTTTTAATGATAAATAGGTCCCGATCATCAACACCGGTGCTCCATAACTTTAAACAAGCCACGAGTGGACGTAGGCATAGTAATCTGATAACGCGGCGGAAGTATCTTTAGAGTATTTAATTTGGAAGAGAACATAGGTGAATTTGCATAATTTAGTTTTTAAATAATCAATATGCGTTCTCCCGTTTATATTTGAATTGATATTTAAACCCAGCAGTTTGGGAAGAAGACCCTTCTTCTCAAACTGTGTATCACTAAATTTATATTGAGATTCAATGACGCGATGTTATACCTTTTAAATTGCAGAGATAATTTTAGTTTTTTCGTAATATATTACGCAATTACACTGAGCCAATTAATAATAGTTTGTAGAGTATTGTATATAGTAGAGTTACAGTCGGTTTTATTTTCGCATTTTGTTTTAAAAAAATGGTAAATAGAGAACTAATTCGTTAAGGTGTCATTACCAACAAGTACAAGATGATACGGGTCAATTACCCATTAAGTGCATCAGTTCGTAGGGTCACGCATCAGTTCGCTGATGCACGAATGGGCAGGTCCGTCCAGGGAAGTACCACGACCTCGCAGAAGACCGGCGTGAAGTAGAAGTACCTATGCTTCTGCGTTTCATCTGGTGCTGGGGTCCACTTCATTAAAAGGTGGCGACGCCTTTGCAACCCTACGAGCGTTGCAAATGTTGTCAGTCACCATCAGGTGAACCGCCAGCTCGCTTGCCATCTTTTCTCAATAAAACGCCCGAATATGTGACAGGAATTCGAAACGGCTGGTGCGAGGGAAATTCCAACGGAAAGATTCCATCGCGAGCGTACGCACAGGTGGGGCTATTGAGCGCGTGTCACCAGAACCGCATGCGTTTAACTTTACCGGTGACGATTACGAATCTCGGCATCGGGAGAGGTCGAGCAGCTGCCGATCCGACGGTAAGTTTATTAGCATACTAGCTGTGCCTGCGACTTGGTGCGCGTGGAATTTAAAATAAATAAATAAAAGTAGCCTAAATTACTCCTTATTACATTAGCTATCTGCAACTAAAAGTCCCGTCAAAATCAGCCTAGCCGTTTCAGAGATTAACCGGATCAAAAAGATAGACAGACAGACAAAAGTTGAAAAAAAGTCATTTTGGTAAATATACCATGTATACATCCACATGAATTCAGCAATAAGCGGTTATTTTAATATTACAAACAGACAGTCCAATTTTATTATATTTATGTATATATGGATTAGCATACTCGGATGCGGACCGCGAAGCGGTAAATAACTGTGGCAAAGCTCCGATCCTGTGCTGCGGGTAATTAGTCGCGGTGGCGCAGTGGACGTCGACGGTGCCCGTGTTCGGGTTTCAAGTTTAAAAGCGTCGAACGAAAATCGCAAAACGATTAATTCACATAATCATCGCATTTAAGGCCCTCCATGTATTGGCGCATTCAAAGTATCGATCCATTACTACCTCAGATCATTCGCTTTATTTTATTTCTATGTTATGTTGACATTCGTGATATATCGCTCGCTTTTCTATAGTATACTCGAGTAAGTCAGCGGTGAAGGAAAACAAAACCTATATAATTATCATCGAAATAATAAAAAAAAAATATCTCGAATAAGTGTAAAGTCTACCAATACCAAGAGGGGTGGTAGCGTCGTGAACTATACCTTATTACTTTCTATACAGAAAAGGCCTTTGTCCAGCAGTGGAACGGGTATAGACTGATATTTTACTTATTTTTTTTCTTACGTTTCCCTATTTACTTTTACTAGCGTTTATGAGAACTTAATTAATATACGGTTCACCTGATGTTAAGTGAATACCACCGCCCATGGACATCTGCTACACCCGAGGGTTCCAGATGCGTTGACAACCTTTTAAAAATTGGACTCCGGTCACCTCACTCACCAGGCGACACGCGAAAGTATTATACTTCCACATTGCATCGGTCTTCCGTGAGCTCGTGGCACTTACCCGGACGAGCCTGCCCATTCGTGCAACAGCCGAACCTGCTGCGTGGCCCTGACACCGTAACCCTCGCCGATTCCCTCGCCGTCTACTAGCAGCAGCTCGAGCGCACTGGCGCCAATCTGTGTCCCCTCTTACGATAGGCAGGGGATACCTCAGCCCTATTCTACGAGCCGAAGACTGCATTGCTGAGACCCACGGGTACTGGCGACGGAAGCGGCATTCTTCCGCTAGCGCCGAGCCTGTCGCCCGCTAGCGCCGAGCCTGTCGCCCGCTAGCGAACCCGTCGCGGCACTGTTACGGCGCAAACATCTGCTCGTCCGGTCGCATTCCACTAGCGGACACGTTGGCCCGCATAATACTCGCGGCCCGTGTCAACGGACCTTGCGCCGCATACGGACGGTCTCTCGTCCCGCGACCCGACCGTGCGGCTGCGGTTCTGAATGACTGCACCACGTGCTTGACGGTGGGGGTGACAATGGCGGGGGTAGGGCTAAGTCTTTACTGCATATCTATCCACAATCTTTTTCTTAAAATATTGCCCTTACTGTAAGATAATATCATCTTGAGCTAAATATCGCGAGGGTAGGGCTGCTAAGTCTTTACTGCGTATCTATTATCTATGCACAATTATTTTTTAAAACATTGCTCTTACGTACTTAAAGACGTTTTACACACATAAATTTCACGTGGACAAACACCCGGATCTGAAACTATCGTCTGTGGGACGCACAAATAGTTGTCCCGTGTGGGAATCGAACCCACGAACCCCGGCGTCGAAGCCAATACCTTGACAACTGCAACGGAGTCATCAAATGTTGATGTTAACAATTCGAGTCTTCATTGTTGCGACTTTTTTGGATAAATCGTTACAGTTATTTTTAGATAATGTTTTATAATCAATTTCAATAAAGGAAATGTGTATTTGAATTTTATTTAGATTGTATAGGTAGCAAGCAAAGCAAACCAACTACCCATACGGGTCCCACTGCTGGGCAAAGGCCTCATCTGAGTGTATTAGGGATCATCATACGACCCAACTGCGGTTTGGCAAACTTCACACGTTATTATATATTATTTTTTTGGTATTATTACGAAAGTATGTAAGTTTCCTCACGACGTTTTCCTTCACCGCTGAGTACATGTTTAGTTAAGCACCTAAAAGTTGTTAAAACTTGTAATCAACAAATTGATTGGTGCCGGCAGCGGGATTTGAATACAGGTTGCTCCAGTATATTGAAATGAAAGAGAGCGTCCGGACACTCGCCTATCACGGCACATTATATATGATACTATTGACCCACCCCGGCTTCGCACGGTTGCAACGTTTTATGTTTGTTTTCGACATCGCATTAGAAACCTCTAAAATTTTCAGTGTTGCTCTACTATATTGTGCATGAATTACACATATAAACCTACCCACTGAATCATTCTATCTATTAAAGAAAACCGTATCAATATTTCTTTACGTAGTTTTAAAGATCTAAGCAATATATAGGGACAGACAGACGGACGACTATGTTTCATACTATTTAGTGACGATTGGTGTGTTTATCACGGCACATTATACATTTCATTGGTATGCCTTTAATTTTTTTCGTCAATATTGTTTTTCCACATAGTAGTTGTATAAACATAACACAAAGATAACTGTCAACCGAATCATTAACCATACGAATGAGGTGATTACTATAATCGTACGTGGGGTGCTCTCAACAGCTGCTTATCGTGACGTCACGGAGCTTAAAAGCACCTTGAAACTCGAACTGGGCAAGGCAAAACCCGCTGGGCTAGCCGTGAAGCGAGTCAATCGGCGCGTTTCCATCGACACGCGACCGTATCCCACCGGCACAGAGCAACAGGTGCTATCACGAGAGCGCCTCGGGGGCCCAATCAATTGGGCACGTGGCCCGCAAGTTCCGCCACGGGCTGACAGGTGCTTAGCTGCGGTGAAAACACCGCTAGTGTAACGTAGACGTATCGAAATCTAATATGGGGTCATGAGGACGCCGCGGCGCGGCAGCCGAGGCGTTGGCTTCGGCGCCGGCGGTCTTGGGTTCGATTCCCACGCGTGACAGCTGTTTGTGTGACCTGAGAGCTTGTTCGCGTGGTATGATTTATGGTATAACACAGGACTACGTTACTCTACAGTAAGAGAAGATTACAATAGATCTTTCTATAAACGAGGTCTAAACTTACAGCGGTTTATTGTGACGTCATGAAGCTTAAAAGGACCTTGAAACTACAATTCGGCAACACATTTCCAGGTCGCAGTGGTCCTTGGGACTTACTACCCAACCGCTTCCGTACACAAGTCCATTTTTTTATTAACGAAAAACAAAACTGACTTCAGAGATATTTGAATATTCATTTTGTAATGGATCTTCATGAGTTCCCTATGTATCTCCGGAGCCCAAGATCCAATACCAATGAAATTATAATATGGGACCAAATGGCATTAGCTTTCAAATAAAAAAAGAATCCTCAAAATAGGTTCACTCAGTTCGGAGGTAACAAACGTAAAAAAAAAATACAGTCGAATTGAGAACCTCCTCCCTTTTTCAAGTCGGTTGAAAATAGAAATATGCGGCCGTAATATCGCTAGAATATGAGATGCAACGGGGAATGTTTTGAATATATCTCTTGTTATAACTTGCGGATACTGCGGCTGACGTGAAGGCGTTAAGTAAACTACTAATACACCAGTGATGAATTAATAAACCAGCTCGATTAGGGGAGTACCACAAGTACTCATTGGCAATTTTAATTTCAACCGGTGAGTGAAGTGACCGGAGTCCAATCCCTTAAAGCTTGTCAAAGCAACTTAGTTCCACGAATGCTGTGGATAAAAGTTATTGGCCTGCGGGACCAGCTTTGAGAAAACGTAGTTCAGTCGATTGGCAGTGCAGATACGAAAACTTATTCAAAGTCAAAGTATCTTTATTCAATATGGGCTTAACTTAAGCTGTTATTGAACGGTAACAAAAAATCTACCACCGCTACACTAAACTAGACCTGCACTAAGAAGAACCGGCAAGAAACTCTGCGGTCTTGTTTTTTTTTGTTTATTCTTGTTATTCCTAGTTATCTCATTTCGCAGGTAAGATAGAGATGTTTTTACTACCATTGGCATTGCAGCTAACACTCAACGTGAAACGGTATTAATTCCTAACCAATAAGTTAGTTAAACAGCCGTGATAGCTCAGTGTTCGGGCGCTCGCCTTTAGTTCAATTTACTCGAGCATCCTGAGTTCGATCTCCGGTGGAAGCACCAATGATATTGTTAATTTCAAGTGCTGACTTATCACGTGCTCGGCGGTGAAGGAAAACTTCGTGAGGAAACCTGCATATTTTCGAAATACCTAATAAATAAATTAAAAAAAAAATCGAAAATATGTGGAGTCCGCAAATCCGCAATGGGGTCGCGTAGTGGACTATGCCCTGATACCCTCTTTACAGAAGAGGCCTTTGCCCAGCAGTGGGACATTTATAGGATGTTACTTTACTTTACAATAAGTTAGAAAAATAATGTTTTTAATTAAAATAAAGCGCGCAATTCAAATTAGAACCCGCGATCTCACTTCAAATGTCGTGCCGACGTCTAAAAATAAACCAAACGCAATATTGCTACGTGTTACGTAAAAGTGGGGCCACGGTAAAATCCACAAAAGTAGCAAGGAATCAGAATCCCAGTTGTTTCAGCAAAAAAGGACCTGAGAAAATAAATCATGTTACCGACATTTTTATACAATCCAAAAACTAGCGTCCGTTTGCAATATTTATTATATGCTCTTCCTAACTATGTTTTGCAAGAATCGAAATTTTTATGGGAAAGGTTTAAAAGGCATGTTAAGTGATAACTTACACCCGTGAAAATCTCTATGATCCTTGGGGCAACTGGATCAATTGCCTGCCTTTGCAACTTTAATATTCTGTCTATTGATAGATTTGTTGTGTTACTAGCGATAGGAATTTACATCAGCTGCATAATACATACCTCAATATTCCATCTCCAGTAATCAAATCTATCTGCAGATTAAATATTGAAACCGGCCGTAAAACGATTGAATTTTATTATAGCCCAATTCTGTACAACGATAGAGATATGGGATTTATGTTAACATAACTCACTGATTATGTTAATATAAAGAACTTCACATAACTTAATAGCCTGGCGGATGCTTTGCGCTTTCCGGTAGAGCTTGCTACATCTTGACAAAAATATGAACCATCTTCTCGAAAGAACAATCATTCAACAACAACAAGATCGTTCATTTTTCACGTGACCACAACGGGCCGTTAAGAAATGGCACGAGCATGTGAATCGCACACGGACAGACACAGCTGGACTGATGTTCGAGAGAGAGGCTGATATCAATTATTGGTTGACGACCCGATTGGCGTAGTTGGTAGTGACGCTGCCTCTTGAGCCAGAGGATGCGGGTTCGATCCATTGACATACTGTTTGTCCAGTGTCTGGGTGTTTATACAATTATAATATGTTTTTATTGACAAACAAAAAGAAAAGTATGTTTAAGTATGTTTATCAGTTATCTAGTAGCCATAGTACAAGCGGGACTAGAAAACGTTGTGTAAAAAATGTGTCCTGAAATATTTTTAATTTATTGTAACGATATATACCGTGTAAGGCTTGCAAACGTTCAGAACTAAATAATTTTTCCCGCGAAATACAACGCCGTCAGCTTTTTGCAAAGGCTCAGAGCTTGCCGTCAATACCGCCGCTTCAATGAAATAGTCGACAGTCAATAAGCTTCAGATCTAGTTTTTATACTGCTCTGCCGACGGATGCCTTAGTAATTCGCAACTTCACAGGTAAAACTGGACGCTTCAATTGAGCTGATTGTTTAGCAGAGGGTACGCAAGTGGGGGCCGTTAAAAGCCCGAGTGGGCCGAGTCGTCTTCTGACGGCCGAGAGTAATGTATGGGGACCACGGAGATTGATGTCGAGGTGATCTTGATGAATCTGATGAAATGATTGATCTACATATCTAATTTATAATTGCAGAGTTAACAAATATCATTTTATTCAACGGGTATTAAAGACTTCGAATTCTAACTCAGTTATTAAATTTAAATTGTTTATAGTGCTAATCTTTGCACTTAAGATTGAACATTAAAATATGTAGAAAAAGTGCGAAAAGATTGTCGCCGCTGTGGGAATCGAACCCACGTCTTCGGCATTCGCGGCCTGACGCTCTAGCCACTGAGCTAAACGGCTGATTGCCACACCGACGAAAATCTTAACGCATTCTTCTACATTGTTTTCGTTGTAAAACGATATTCGAAGTTGTTTGTATGCTGGAAAGGATATAACAATAGATGGCGCCAAGCATTGCTTCAAATGCTAAGAAAACAATGCAGAAGAATGCGTTACGATTTTCGTCGGTGTGGCAATCAGCCGTTTACCTCAGTGGCTAGAGCGTCAGGCCGCGAATGCCGAAGACGTGGGTTCGATTCCCACAGCGGCGACAATCTTTTCGCACTTTTTCTACATATTTTAATGTTCAGTTATTAAATTCTTAGGTAACTCTAATAAAAAAAAAATCCAGTTAACAACAGAGTTTTCTCTTCACATGAGAGAGATGTGATTGCGATTCCACTGTTCTTCGAAACCTATTCCAGGAACAGGCCATCACAATAAATGAAATTCGAAAAGGAATGTGATCTCCACGTCGAGACTAAACAGGTTGTCGGCAAGTGCGTTGACGGTCAACGATTACAGAATGAGCCCAGGTGGCAGCAGTAGTAAAAAAGAAACCAGAATCTAGAAGCTTATCGGCATCCGTCTGGACACTGACCGGACCACTCCTTAACTTTACTTACGATCTCGTTTAACGCAGACTTAATTAAAGTACAACAAACAATGAGGGTTTAAGCGGGATGAAAGAATTAAGGATTGCAAGAAACTCACCATTCCATTGTCCATGCCTCCATATGGCGACTGGTAGCCCGCCTTTTCTGTGGCTGCGAAATGAGAACACGTTAATTGAGGCAACACTATAACATACGGACCATGGAGAGTTCCTCAAACGAAGCACTTTACGCCAACGTTTTCGCGCGTTATGCCATTTTTGCTCCGAACTTTACTTAGGAAACACTTTGTTATTATATTGTTTTCTTGATTTTACGCGAATATTATACATATTAAATGAAACTAGTTTACGGATTTTATCGCGTTTTTTATTTTGATTTGAACACCCGACGTTTCGAACTCTTTCCAGCGCTCATGGTCAGTCTGTCCCGTGAGCGTTATGTACCAAACTTAATTTGTCTTTGGTAGCAAACGCTTTTTATTAGGATGCTACGTAAAACTTCAGTAGCTTTTTGTTCAAATTATTTACGTTTATATTATTGCATATTATAATGGACTAACTGTTTCGCGAATAGGAAGATATTTAATTGAAAAAGTGTTATTAATGGCATTGTCATCAGTAATAGAATCAGAGCGTAGATAGTAATATGTTCTCTTATTAACCAAAAACTATCTGAATTACGCTTACTAACACTAACTGTTGTCTCTCCGGCCCAACCTGAGCCACCCCTTTCTAGGATACGGCCGCTATAAATCAAACCCTAAACCGCACCACGAAAAGCGTCACTCAGTCAATTTCCAACCGGGTGCCGTCTCCGTCAACGGAGTAATGGGGTTATAAACAAACAGATTCCGCTCCTTGGAGTGTTTAAGGACACTTTAAAATCCGGAACAAGGCCGCCGCCTCCCAAATGACCCATTAAGGGCCCCGCGCTTTTTGTATAAATAGAGCGCGAGCAACAATGGCCCCGTAACTGTGGACCCATTACGGAAAGCATTTACATAACCCGCGGGGGTACAGTCGGAAGCCGGTGGACCCTGATCAACGGGGATAAGGGTTAGTTTCGCCCGTGTCCGAGGCGGCGCCGACTGTACCGACCCACGGTCCCTCCTTTAGACGGTGTCAGGACTTGCTTAATTACTAAGCAGTCGGGGGGTTACGATGTGTCTCCGTCAAGCTTGTCGCTTTGCCGAATTGAACGAAATTAGCCAAGGGTACACAGCCAGCGTCTAAGCGGTAATTTATGTTTCAAGTTCAGCTTCGTTACTCCTTTACGTATTATTTACCAAAGCGAATACATTACAATAAGTGCTAAGCAGATAATTATAATTTTTATAATACGCTTTTATTCAGATCAATGTTACAATTATGTGAACAAGAACAATAGACGAAGAAATATTATTTTAATCAAAATCTGATCTTTTATTTGAATTATATTTATTTTCTATAGTTGTGTTTGCCAGTCATCAAAGGCCTCCTCCAATCTAAGTAGATAACAACACATTGCAATCTTTTATTTGAATTATACTTATTTTCTGTAGATGTGTTTGCCAGTCAAATCAAAAAAATCAAAGCCCTCTTCCAATCTAAGTAGATAATAACACATTGCAAATATAATATGTTACGGAGTTTTCTTTTAATTTCGATTTTAAATCATTCCATGGACCATGGACAGAACCCGTAAAATTTAACAATGTGTAGTTTTTTTTTTGTGAAAAGTTGTCAAGCGAGCGGAAGGTTCACCTGACGTTAAGTGATTATCTCTGCCAATAGACATTTATCACACCCGAGGGCTTACGGATGCATTGACCAATTTTAATTGTTGTTTTCTCTTTATTAGTAAAGATTCCATTAATGGTCCTGATAGCACGGTTAAATTGTACACTCACGGATATTGTTCATCACAACATTGCTGATGAAAAGTTTAACACTTTTGTGTTGCAATGTTATGCGGGCGTGGACATTAACTCGCCAAAGTGGCAACTCTACTTCGTGGAAATCATTAAAACTTGGGAACGACAAATAAAAACTTTTGCATATTACTATTAGTTTATTTAAATTTCCCTACCAGTGCTAATTATACTAAATATATTAATTGAATAGCGATCCGCCTCTGCTTCGCACGGGTGCAATGTATCATATTATATTATACATATAAAACTTGAATCACTCTATCTAGTAAAAAAAAAAACAGCATCAAGTTTTAAAGATCTAAGCATACATACGGACAGACAAAGAGCGGGGCGACTTTGTTTTATACTATGCAGTGATACGTCCGTTATCTCGCTCCAGCTGTGAGGCGACGTAAGCAAAGATAATATAAACAAAATCGATTACCAGCTTATTATAATTTCCGGGCGTCGTTACGTCTCTCGTGACATCCCGACTGTCACAGGGGCCACGTGTAAGCCCATTATACACTCGCAAGCGTGAACATAATGCACCGAGTAGTGGGGACGCGGGATGTAATGCAAAATCGATACAGCTAGTGTGTACACGTAGCACGATGCTACAACAAACAGCTTCTTGGAGCATTTTGGGTATAAGTTAACAATGTTGACTTATGATTAGAGAGTAGATATCTTCTATGTGCAGTTAGGAAAAGGAATAGTTTTTGTGTGTGGTGGAACACAGCAACTTCGGACGTTGGACTAATGGGCAGGCCCAACTGGGGAAGTACCACCGCGTGAATTGGAAGTATTGTACTTTACACACACTAACGCGTGTGCCGGGAACCGGGGCCCATCTAATATTGTATATAGACGAATAACATCAGCCAAAATCTTGCTCGCTTGCCCTCTATTCATATAAATAAATATCAAACACTAGCTGCTGCCCGCGACTACGTCTGCGTAGAATAGGCTGAAGGCGTAACATTCAGACAGAGAGACAGATATACATAAAATATGTATATAAATTATAGCCTATGTCTTATCCTGATGTATAAGCTATATTATTGTAAAGTTTCATTAAAATCTATTCAGTAGTTTTAGCGTGAAAGAGTAACAAACATCCATTCCATACATACAAACTTTCGCCTTTATAATATTAGTAAGGATTTCACAAGGACTGAAGGAATAACCAGTTCTATAGGAATGATTTAACGCAGGCCGTACACATCACTAACTTTACGAAAATCGGAAGAACCACATACTAATATATCTGTATAAATAATATGATAGGGGTCTGCCTTTGTGCGCGTCACTAATAACTGGATAGATTTCGATTAATTCTTGTAAATTTTATTTCATAGACGTTTACCCCTTATCAAAAAATAAATATTGTGATATTATCTTCTTTTAATACAAACATGGACACCGTAGTGCTAAGCGAAAAGCGCTGCGGAGCGAATAAACTGCAATTAGTCCCTTCGGTAGGGTTCCGACGAGGGCCCTTTCGTATCGGCGACACTTCACGAGGGGGTACTTTTCCATCAATGGTTAGTGCCGCCCCTGTTTGCGACAAGGGTCTGTCGGTTACGGTACCTAGCCGCCGACTAGAGCCTCGCAGTTCGATTCGCAGATAATAGCATCACTACATATGCATCTAAATGTATCACAGAATTTTAGTGCTAATTTGCACTCTGCGTAATTGGCCCAGACGCTTTAACCGAATGATGCAGGTTAGAATGCTGGCGACACTGAAATTTTTTACGACAATTTATGTGTTTAAACTCAAGTGTAAATTGTATCTTTTAATGCTTGCTCAAACTCTAATAAAGCCAAAAGAAAAGAAACAAAATAGGAAATGCATTGTCATCTTAAACTACAACTAAACAGTGTAGCAACTCAAAAATAATCAAGCGACATAGTATAATAATTTCTTATATTTAGGAAAACATTACACGTTTTAATAGAACTTGTTTATGGATTTTATCGTGTATCATTTTTATTTAGTGTAACCCATGTACTTTATTTTTTAACTCCCGACATTTTGAATACTGTCTGTACTCCGAACTTTCTGTCGGGAGTTTTAAAATTAAGTTACACTAAAATAAACCATGCTAAAAAAAGCGGTAAAGTAATTTCATTAAAGAGCAACCTAACAATAAGGTATTATGAAGACATCCAAAGGCTTCTAACATTATATAACATTCATCCCTCACGAGCAGACCCGCCACGTAAGCGTTTCCGACAGTCTCAATACAATAATAATGAAATTTCGCAAGTTGACTTGGCGACGACGCAAATTATTCATACGTCGGTGCACTTTCGAAACGAGCGGGCAAAGTGGGGCGCGCACCACGAGGGTCCGGGTTCATTCCGTTCGGGTGCCGCCCCAGATCCCAATTACACGCCACCACCCCAGGAACGGGAACGGGAACGCGTCGCCCGATTTCGGATACCCATACGCTCATATAACGCTTCGAGTGGACGTAATACGAATGAAATATTTTCAACGACAATTTGTTTTCAGATCTATAACTAGTGGTCGCCCTGTGGTCGAAATTCGATCATAATTAATTATACATGGTAGTGTGTGTAATTTTTTTTATTCATTTATTGTGTGTTTTATGCGTAATTTAAAAAACATACAAAAAATATATCACTACATAGTATAAAACAAAGTCGTCCCGTTGTCTGTCTGTCCCTTAGCGTAACTTGATGCGTTTTTTTTAAAAGATGGAGTGATTTCAGAGGTAGGTTTATATATATAATACGTTGCACCCGTGCGAATCCGGGGCGGGACACTAGTAAACCATAAGTATAGGAAATATCATACTCCTCCGTATGCGTAATTTTCGTTAAATTTGGGTACAGTGTTTGCTTTACGTAATAGTTAATAGATACTGTACAGATCTCTTATTCTATTCAAACAAGCAAAACTATACTTGAGAAGCTTAGAAACTATTCAATATAGTGAAGATACTATAAGAGACCGTACAGACATCTATCTAACCGAAATACGTAATCGAAAAGGGGCCAGGACGGTATACGGCAATAGGGGCAAAGCAGTAAAGGCAATTATGGAAAAGATCATTTTGGTTGAGAGTAAATGTAGTATGAGGTCAAATGTGGTAGGGCCACGCAGCAGCCTCGGCTGTTGCACGAATGGGCAGGCCCGTCCGGGTAAGTACCACGACCTCACAGAAGACCAGCGTAAAGTGGAAGTATGACAAATACTTTCGCGTTTCGTGTGGTGAGTGAGGTA